TGCTTATAAAAATGGAAATGGCACCCTCTTTTTATTTTTTGTCTACTTGATTTTGCTTTTGGTTTTTTTTCAACGGTTTGTGGTGGTCTTTAGTTGTGATTTAGGGCACTTTCTTATGGCCTTTGTTTAGATTTGTGGCCTCTTAAGAGGGCATTGATCTCGTCCTCCTCTTGTGTATTTCTTTTCTCTTTTCTATTTGAAAAATTGCTTTTCATTTAAAAAAAGATATAATTATATAACAGAATTAACAACTACTCAAATGGACGCATATGAAGAATCAGAGCTAAGATTATTAAATGTGTAGTCTTTTATCTATCGAATGTCCTTAATTAGATATAGATAATAATCTTTTTAAATACATACATTTAAATACATTTTACAAGCAGTAATCGACTTTTTGAAATATCTACGGAATATCCTCCATTTTGAAAAATACAAATGCGAACGATAAGTGACTTTTTAGTTATTTGTTTACGGCCCTAGAATAAAGCAACACAAGAAGTAAAAAATGCAAAGCAGAAAGGGAAGAAATTAAATACTCCTCCTTATCGTAACTTAATTCATACTTTTTTCGTCTTAAATTAATCTTCTTGTTTACTTTTTAAAGTACTACAAAAGTAAAATTAATTAGTTAAGATTTGTTTAGAGGAAGAAGAATCAATAATTCAATATAGACCACTACTCCATTACTTTTAAAGAATCAGAAGTTTATATTGTGAAATCCAAAAATAAAAGTTAAAGGATTAATTTAGAACAGAGGAACAATTTTGACTTCACACGTACCGTGTATAAAAGCAATTTAATACGCGTTTTTCTGTGCTCATAAGCTGGTCAAAACCGTTTATAAACTGTTTTTAACTTATAAGTTAGCTCGTAAAGTGTTTCTCGGTGATTATAAGCTGCTTATAAATAAAAAAAATAAGCAGGTCTTACCTAATTATTTTAGGATAGTTTTTTTATTTCTCCATTTTGACTAAATTATTTATAAAAGTAGTCCTCATTATTTATTTTGACGAAAGAATATTTAGCTTACAAGCAACTTATAAATTAAAAATGTCTTATCAACCATAAGACAACAAGGTCTTGACAAGTTACCTTCTCAATTTACCCATAAAATGGTTCTAATTTACGGTAAAATGTAAAATGCAAGTGGTAGGATAAACTGATTTAGGGAGCGTTCCCATCAACTTATTTTTTCTATTTATTACTTATTCTTATCCAAATCAGATCATATCATATCAGACCAAATGAGATCTGATCAGATTCAATCAGATCAGATCTAATCAAACCAAATTAGATCCAATCAGATCAGATCAGACCAGATTTAAACAACATTAATATTATTACTTTTATTATTATTATTATTATTACTATTATTATTATTAGTACCATTATTATTAGTGTTATTATGACTATTACTATAATATTATGATTGTAATTATTAATACTATTGTTATTATTACTATTACTATTATTATTATTACTATTACTATTACTATTATTATGACTATTATTATTATTATTATTATTACTACTACTAATATTATTATTACTATTATTATTAAGATTATGATTATTATTATTATTACCATCTTTGTTACTAATATTTTTATTACTATTAATAATAATATCATTATCATTATTTCCATTATTATTGTTGTTTCTGTTATTATTATTCCTATTATTATTAGTATTATTATTATAGTTATTATTATTCTTACTATTATTATTGATATTATTATTATTATTATTTCTATTATTATTATTTCTTTTATAATCAATATTTCTATTATTATTAATTCTATTATTATTACTATTATTATTAGTATTATTATTATTATTATAGTTATCATTATCATTGCTATTCTTATTACAATTATTATTATTATTATTACTATTATTATTAATATTTCTATTATTATTATAACTATTATGATAAAAATTTTAATTTTAATCAAATTCATATCAGATTCAATCAAATCAGATCAGATCCAATCAAATTAGATCCAATTCGATCAAATCAAAATCAGGCAAACGGAACGCAGCTTTAAAAATCAAGGATTATTTACTCCGTATTATACTCATATATGGTATTTTAGGTAAAATGGAAATGAAAATATTTTCTTCGTCTCAAATTGGATTACAACTTCCATTTATGAGGTAATACACTACATTTTTTAAAATCAATTTATTTAAAAATTGGTATAAGAATATTTAATCAAATTTATATATTAAAAAACTAAATCGAAAATTCTACAAAACAAGAGATAACATGATTTTTATTAAATAATCAATGAAAGTACATGAGTAATCAAAATTTATTGTCGATAGGTCCCAAAAAAATTGCAAGTCAATTTGAGATGGAGAGTATGATTTTAATTTTCAAATGTAAAATAAAGAAAATGTACCTTTACTTAGGAGACAAATGACATATGGAAAAAGCTCAAAGATGAGTCCATATACTTATACTCCCTCCGTCCCAAATTATTTGCCACATTTGTATTCTCGAGATAAAATATCAAGTTTTTTCAATTCATTTTATTTACATATTGGTATAGAAATAAAAAATAAAATTTACATATAAAAAAACTACATGAAAAGCTCTTCGAAATAAGAGGTGTCAAGAATATTTTATTTTATCAAATAACTAATGAAAATATCAAAATAAACAAAAGTTCTCGCGACTGCTGAAAAAGTAAATGTAGTGAATATTTAGGGACGGAGGGAGTACAAAAGACCCACTTCACTTTAGACCAATAAATTACACATCTTGTATCTCTTGTGATTCTTCAAAGACGCAAAAAGAAAATTAAAAGCCTAAACTTATCTTTAAAAATTAGAAAATATTTTTCATACTTTAACACATTTATCTTTTCATTTCAGCCACAAAAAAATAAGAATTGTGCTTGTGTACCTCAAATCACATCAATTTTGGTATCACATTTCTTATAGATATTCATAGCCTCATAGGCACGTACTCTTAAAATTCATGTTCAATTTATGGACCTTAGTATATTGATATTATTTAAGAATTGAGTTTTTACACAAATGAAAAAATCTACTTGTTAATTCATAAAAAAAGTGAGAAGATCTACATTTTACATGTGGACTTTAGGATCAAGAACGAATAATTCTTCTTATATCTATAAAAAAGGGGGTCAAAATTACTCTCAAACTTGTGAATAATTTGGAGAATGCTAAAAATCCCCCACTTTTGCTACCATGCATGCCCCCCCTACATAAACATGTGGTAGGGAGGCAAGAAAAAAGAATTTGAGGGTGGAGAGAGAATGAGTGGAGATAAATATGTGGTGGAGAAATGGATGGGGGCAAGGTTGGTAGCAATGGTAGGGGATGTGTAGCATGGTCCGAATAATTTTGATAGAGGGAGTACTTTACGTTTTTTGCCAAAAATTGTGAGTACAATAAAAATTCAAACACTAGGTCCAAAATTAGTAGTACTGTATTTTACACTAACAAAAAAGGCGGTAGGAAAAAATCAAGAGGAAAGAAACAAACACGGAGAGTCCAGCAACCCAAATGATGGGAAATGGGGTTTTCCAGCTAAGAGTCGGTAACCTAACCTAACCTACCAGTGGGAATCTCACAAGTGTTTCCCCGATAGCTTTTTCAAAATCCTAACGCTAATCTCTAACGCTTTTCCCAAACAGGCCTTTAACCATAATCGCCTACTGCTGCCTGACGCGGGAGGGAGAGATTTCCCCCTTTCCTGCCTATGACACAGCAAAAAAGTATGGGTGTAAACGAACCGAATCGAAGCGAATATCGAGATATTTGAATTTGTATTTGTTTAATTTTTTCGAATACGAATCCGAATCCAAATATGAGACGAATTAATAATAAGATTTGAATTTGTATTTGATTAATATTCGGATACTTAACGAATCCTAAACGGATATCTTAATAATTATACTCCATATTCTATATGATGGACCAACATAGATTTTGAATAATTTAACTTACGATACTTCTTATACTATGTCTAAAAACATTACTCGGGTAATACATTTTCATCTTACACAAATTATATTTTATAAAATATAACTAAAAATCATATGCTTTAGATTTTCGTGATACGTTAATTTGTTGAATTCTAGCTTAGTAATTTAAATATATTTTATACTATATTAGTTTACTTGACTATTGATGTTGAAACATGGTTTGTGGGTATATACATATATTCGAATATTCGAATATCACCCAAATCGAATATACTCATATTTGTATTTGTATTTGTTTAATATTCGAATCAAAACTAATATTTGAATTTGAATTTGTATTTAAATAATGCGAATTCGAATCATTATATTCGAATACAAATCACGAACCGAATTAAAAGTATTTGATTTGTTTACCTCCCTAAGCAAAAGTATGGAGTGAAAAATGATCATCCGACAGAATTTAAAAGGGGTGGGGTTGTGTGGTGTGGTGGGTTACCTTATGGGGTCCATTCTCTCACCCACATGCACAAGCAAATCCCCCATTCTCTTGTCTCTTTTCGAGGAATTTTTTATCTCCCTCCCCCTCTTTACTCTTTAGATTCTTATTTTAGTAGAAAAAAATATTTTCTTATTTACTTACTGTATTCCTATGTAAAGAAAGTTAGATTTTTATATTCACAATATAATTTTCTTTTTATTATTTTTTACATGGTATCAGAGTAAGTTTTCAATTTTCGAGACCTCAAACACGTTGCCACTCTTCTGTCGGTGGGCATACATACTTCAATGCATATGTTATGGATTATATAGTAGGATATTAGATTATATATTTATTAGTTTATTATTATTATTATTATTAATATTAATATTATTATTATTATTATTATTATTATAATTTAGGTTTTATTAGGTGAGCGAAATTATAAGCTCCTTCGAGGTTTCTTTACGGTTCTTTCCCTCGTCGCTTTTTTTGAACCGTCAGGTTAGCGTTAGGGTTTCCCTATTCCCTATATATAGAGATGTAACCCCTTTAGAATAAGCAAGCAATAAACAAATTACAAACCCTAATCTCTTCTCTCCTCTCGGTTCGCCGATTCCCCCTCGCCTCAATTCTTCTTCTTCTTCCTCGTCCCATATTCTCAAGATCTCGAAGACGCTCTGAGTCTTCCCTATCCGATACGAGTTCGTAACATTGGTGCTTTCATTGAGAGGAACACCAAAAAAAACCAAAAACCAAAAAAAATCGATTCGCTGTAGATTTGTCGTCGCTGAATTATTGTTGCCGCCGAGGAATTGCTCAAGGCACTCTCTGCCGCACCAGGTTCACTCTGATAAATCTTTTCTGTTCTTTGATTTGCACAAGCAGTGCGGAAAGGTTATTTGCTACGCATATCCGATCAAACAAAAGAAGGCAGCAGACTAGATTTTGTTTTTTGTTCGGCAATTCCAGGGGAGATCCACGGTAATTTCCTGTGTGAAGATTTACTCTGATTGTTTTTTGTGTGCTTTGATTTGGAGAACCAGTGGCTCACTCCTAAAAAGGAAGGTTATTTTGCTCCTTTTTTTTTGGCCGCCTTCATTATTGTTCTTGATCGAAAACAAAGGGTGTGCAGTGAATCTACCAAACTTTGATTATTATTGGCATCATTAAATCTTTGTGGCAGTGAATTATTTGGGAGCCGGTTCTCAACACCAGGAAGTCTCATAATTTGGGAGGGTGGATTAAATTACGGAGTATCAGAGATTTCTTTTGGAATTGGGTTTGGTATTTGCCTTGCCACAACTATGGTCTCGATTTTGGATAAAATTATTGTGACCATGGACGATGCTTTGAACAAACTTCTTGGAGTGTTGAAGAATATATTATATGGAAGAGTTGAGTTTCATGACGAAGTCTGTATAGCTTATGATCATGTGGATGAAATTTTGAAGACGCTCCACTTATTTCGTTATCTTTTAGATCTACCGTATTCTGATTCTGAGGTATATGCGTTCAATGTGGAAATCTCTTGCTCGATACAAGATTTGGTGCGTGGTACTCCAATGGCATTGAGTGATATTCCCTTAGAGTTAAAAAGTTTCAAAATAAAGATGATGAATGCTATAAGGAACCTACTCAGAGCTCCACTTGCTCCACCAGATCTGACTCCTACAATCATTCTACACAACACCACACCTAATGGCATGGAATCTGTTGAGGGCACTGTTGTTGATTCAGTGAGCATTCCCCAAATTGATGATGATGGTATTTCTGTTAAAGATGTTGTTAATGCCTTTCCATCAGATCTTGTAGCTGTTGATACACCCGTAGTTGCCCTGGGTAATGGAGAAGTTGCAAAGGATCCAACATTGAGCAATGTCATGATCGCATGTAGCCTTGTGCCTTCGTCCAAAACGGCCCAAGTAGCAGATGTAAATTATACGCAAGCGGATATCTCACTGTCCTTTGATATCATCCAGTCCTCTGCCCATGCGAATATAGTGGAGTCCGAGTATTGGGTTTCACCGCCGATAGCTAAGTTTGCACTTGCTCTTCTCTCTTATATCCATTTCTATCCTCCAATTTGCAGGCTTCATGAAGATCTATCATCAAGTGGGCATAATCTTTGGGTCAACATTTTCTCTCCAGTCTCAAAGCATGAGTGGGAACCTCCACCTTGAGGACAAGGTGGTTTTCTAAGGGGGTGAGAGTGTTATGGATTATATAGTAGGATATTAGATTATATATTTATTAGTTTATTATTATTATTATTATTATTATTATTATTATTATTATTATTATTATTATTATAATTTAGGTTTTATTAGGTGAGCGAAATTATAAGCTCCTTCGAGGTTTCTTTACGGTTCTTTCCCTCGTCGCTTTTATTGAACCGTCAGGTTAGCGTTAGGGTTTCCCTATTCCCTATATATAGAGATGTAACTCCTTTAGAATAAGCAAGCAATAAACAAATTACAAACCCTAATCTCTTCTCTCCTCTCGGTTCGCCGATTCCCCCTCGCCTCAATTCTTCTTCTTCTTCCTCGTCCCATATTCTCAAGAGCTCGAAGACGCTCTGAGTCTTCCCTATCCGATACGAGTTCGTATCAGCATACCGGCAGGATATTGTGGTCTTTTGTTTTTCTCGTTGAATAATCGCTGGGCGTGCCTTTTGTTGCGTTCGACCGACATAGCGCCATCTACGTCAGCCTTGACCGCCGTAGCGACCTCCGTAAATACGCTAGAGTCTGCCGCCGGTGCACACCGTCTATAAACTCAGTATGGCATATGGTAATTCCTTTTTGGCAAAGAACATGAGTGCTAAGGAATCGAAGTCACTATTCATGAAGAAATCGTCCAACAAGGGTCGTTCTACATAATGAAGACAATTTTTTCAAGGCAAAGATTTAAAAAAACTGGCGTTCTGGATGTTCGAAAAGAATGGCGTTTGTCCTGTTCGTTGAATTCGATGAAGGTTCAAAAAATGGCATTTCCTTACTCGATTGATTATTCGGCGGATTTGAAAAGAGTGGCATCTCCGTCGAAGAAGAAGAAAAATTATTTGTTGAAACGTTCATATGACACTTGAACAAAGATAGTTTGATTATATCTTGTCCATGTTGGGCATTCGGAACCTCCTTGTTCCAGCTTGAGGGGGGTGTTGGTATGAGATATTATAAGAAGCAAACTGAATCCCTTTGAGATTCGGTTCTCGATCTTTCCTAATTTGTTTAATTCTTATTTTAGTAGAAATAAAAATTTGCTTGTTTGCTTTACCCTCTTCTTATATAAAGAGGGTTAGCTCTTTGTATTCACAACAATACACAATTTAATATGGAAATATATTCTCCTTTATTATTTCCTACACGGTGTAATCTTAATTTGGTGTTTAGAAAAATCTACTTGTGTTCCATATGTACAAAAAGCTATCACATTAGATAAAGGTCTTAGCAAGTCGGTTCATGTGGCATTAAACTCAATGTCATAAGATGACTCGAACCTCTTATGAGACAACATGGATAAAACTGATGATTTCTACCACTCTAACCCTCTCATGACCCCCTGCCTCCCAGTTCATGTTAGCTATCGTAGTACCCACAAATTAATTTATTATTTTCTTTTGCTTAAATCCCACTTTATGAATTAATATTCATTCAAACACATAAATAGGGCAAACAAGACTCGATTCCACAAGGAAATATACCTCTTAAGTTATGAAAATCAATTCACTTTGTCACTTTTATTAAATAAAAAAAGGCTAACTAAAACTAATAACTAAAACTAAGAGATATGAGGGGTCGAATGATAAATAAAAAAGATAGAAATGTAAATAAAGTAAAGACAAGTATAACAGATAAGAAATGGAACAACAATAGCAAGTTTAAAATTGAAAAATTCATAAACGCTTTCGGTTTAGTTTTGCCAGCTCTAACTAGTACTGAATGCGAGTATGATTGATAGTGTTTTGACACTAATTTACAAAGTAGTTATTTCTCTGTACTTATAAGCTGGTTAAAAGTGTTTTTAAACTGTTTTAACTTATAAGTCAGTTGATGACATATTTTTGTGTGCTTATAAGCTGACTTGTAAACTACTTAGAAGTCAAAAAATATATAAGTAGATCTTTGGTACTTATTTTTGCGCACATTTTGTTGGTTCTCAGTTTTGACCAGATTATTTACAAAATATTCCTCACCATTTATGAATATTTAGAAATGATTTATCTATCATTTAAGTCATTATACTTTTACGAAAAAATATTTGACTTCTAAACAGCTTAAAAATTAAACACAATTTATCAGCAATAAATCAAGCCTACGTGAAATTAAAACAATTTATCAATAATTTTACATACTCCATACATTATAAAAAAAGCTGGCATACTCGTAATAATTTAAACTCCGAATTAAATACACCCTCCTAGATGTTCACACAACACCAGCAAGGCAGCAATAGGCAATGCCCCTATAAACACCAAAATTGTCACTCCATACCCAGGGAGGAAATTAAACATCGCCTAAATCAAGGCGACTTAAGAAACTTTCGAGCAGCATCCGAGCTCAGTTCTTCACACACCTGAACAAAAAAGAATGTCCATATTGGTTTGAGACCCTAAAATTATGGGGATTGTACAAGTAAAATGGATTGAAGGAAATGAAGACAGTCTGATGGGTGGTTCCATATTGGCTTGAGACCCTAAAATTTCAAATTTGGGTAGAAAAATAATTCATCCATTTTGTTATCAAACATGGCAGAAGCTATATATATGCTGTACTTACAACTTTCCTATAAACTTCTTGAAAAGTCCTAAGGAAGCTTTCTGCTTCTTCTGGTCCAACCTGTAAAATTCAGACTAGGTGATATCATAATCCGTTTGCACGTTTGACATCCAAAAAATTGTTCAATCTCAATGAAAAACCTAAAGGAGATTAAAGAACAATAATAATAATAATAATAATAATTAGAATAAGACCAAAATAATAATAATAATTCTTATATGAAAAGTTATGAGCCTCAACTTTAAATGACAAATTTCAGTGATGAAAATTTATACTCCATATATAGTATGGACCAGTATTTGTCTGATATTTCCATTTTCCCAGCAAACCACTACTCATTACTCCTCCCTGCGGAAATGGGTGAAATACATTCTAATATAGGACTAGAATGGTACATGGACTAGTTAAATTGCTTCCTTCAATTAGAAGTACAAGGACTCTCTCTCTCTCTCGATCATTTACTTAGCTAATGTGGCCATATATGGTTTACTTGAATAAATACATTGTAATTGCTTTACGTCCTGGAGACAATTAATAACTAAATCACAATTTCCTTTCATTCTCTTCTCTCTCAAATCGCTCTATTATCTTCTTTCATCTCTCAAATATATCTCTATTTCCGTTATACTCCGTTAGAGAGTTCATACAGCTTCTCTGAGCTATAACATATAAGATTTCATCAGCGTAGTCTGGTGGTATTTGCCGATATTGGAGTCTGTGCTAAAATCAGTGTATTCTCTACTAATTGTCATCTTTTGTTATCTATTGATATCCCTTTTTACCATTGAGGTTGATATTAATTTTTTATTTAATACTCCGTATTTGTTTTGAGAACATACATTATTAACACAAGATAGCAGGGTTCTGTCCCTAAGGGGGGAAAGCAAAAATAACATTGCAAACCTGCTTCTCAGCAACTAGCTTGACTTTGTCCCAAAATGCATCTGTTACAAGTCAATACATCTTGTTTAAAAAAATATCAGCCATATGAGGGAACTAACCCAAAAGATATAGTCTCTCTCTTTTTGCTAAAACAATTCCTCTTTCATTTTTTTCGTTTTCACCAAAATACCTCCATTTTTGCAAAAAAATAACTTAATCCAAATAAAGCCGTTGTAATATACTCTACATAAAAAGTTATTTAAATGATTTGTCTCTCTTTTTTCTTCGACGTTAAGGATATAACTAGAAAGTCAAATTGAAAAAATAAATATGTCAAAAGTAAAAATAGGAACTGTTTTTGCAAAGAGAGGGAGTACTAAAAGTTTATTGCAGACAAGATATTATACCATGGCTGTTGCTTTCCTTAGCCTCCAAACCACCTTTATTTACTCTTTCCTGTTAGTCATCAGCTCATGATCTTAGAATAGAAGGCTGATCCAGAAACCTATTAATCCAACATGACATCAAATAGATTGATTCTAGGCGTTTACCACGAATTCTCGCAACAATGTTTTTGATGTCATCAACTTTCCGGACGATCTTGAAGACGCCAAGTTCCTGGACGATCTCGATGTCGAAAAATTTCTGGACGACTTTGATGTTGCCAATTTTTTTGATGACTTTGACGCCTCCAAACTCCTTGAAGAATTTGACGCTTCCAAACTTCTGGAAGATTTCGATGCCTCTAAATTTCTCGCAGATCTTGATGTCTCCAAGCTCCGAGATGACAATGATGCGGATAGCCTCATCTCAGTTTCAAACTGGGCATTCAAAATCACAATGAAATTTGGGCAAAGCAATTAAAATCATGTTATACAATTTAAAGACGCATCTGCTTCCGATTTCTCCTCTGAAATGGAGCCCTAGTTTTGGTTTAACCACATGATTCATGAAAAAACAAAGCCTCCAGACATTTAAGAAAAAATATTTCGGATGTGCGATGAAAGAGATGGGTATAATAAGAGAGATTACATCATAATCGCGAGTGCGGATGACAGGGAAGTGCTCGAGAAGGCGATGGAATTCAAGTTCATCCATGGACGGACGGAGACGGAAACTTCCTGAGACAGCTTCCAAAGTCGGGTAACATTAGGGGAAGGAGGTGGAGAGAAAGGGAATGGAGATTGGAGGGAATGGGCAGGGAGGAAATAAAGGGATCGAGGGGGAGGGAATGATAATGAATTCTCCCATTTCAAACCACTTGCTCCCTCCCTCCCAATTTATTTGCAACACTTTGAACAACGTGTAAAATATTGTCTCTTTTAAAATCATTTTAATTTCAAATTGGTAGAGTAATAAAAAATAAAAATTACATCATTCAAAAGTATATGAAAAGTTCTACAAAACAAGATGCGACAAGAATATTTTATTTTATCAAATGATCAACCAAAACGAGTAAACAAACAAAAATTATCGCGATGCCAGAATAGTAACCATGACATTCTTTCTGGGACGGAGGGAGTATTTTTGTTTTCATACAAGTCATTTGCTATATTGATTCGTACAAACGCAAGGGATAGAACCAAATTTTTATCCATTTTGAATTTTTTAATGTATTTAATACATTTCTCATATGATTTTTAATACCTAGTGCAAGAGTAAGATAAATAATTAGTCCCTCCGTCCACTTAAGATATTCCATTGCACGTTACGAGTTAGAACTTTACAATATGACCATAATTTTGAGGAATTCACGATGGTGCCTACAATTTTCTCTCTCGGAGATCTGAGTAAAAACTCAAAGATTCTGGCAAATATCACATCCAATTACAATTATTTTCCTTCCAAATGATTCATTTCTGGAGTTTTTATAAACAAACATCATTACATCTCTCATTGTGTGGCTCAATGTCTCAAAAGCAAATCTATTAATCGTGTATGTTTCATCTTATTTGATTAGACTTTCTTATTAGATTAGTTTTGCTTTCGGACTCCCTTCTTTGAGGGTACAGGTTGAGCACTTGGTTAGTGCTAGAGAGATTGAGATTCTCTAGTGCATTGTCCTTCCTCCATGCAAAAGCAATGCTGCAATGCCACTGGATGCATATGCAACATTCAAGACAACAATACACTTTGACCTTAAAGAAGTAGAAAATGAGTTCTAGATAAATATTTTTCTAGCTCCACCGTAATCATACACAAAAACGAAACATCTTCTTTTAGATGTCATGACTTGTATTATTTTGTTGTATATTTTCCTCCGATCTTCATTAATCGTAGATCATATCCCTTAAGATCATATGGTAACTTTTCATCATAGTTCATATTCTTTACCAAAAAAATATTTCTAAATCTATTAAATGGACTATCATTTTAGATTCCGTCCGTTTGAATTAAGCAACTTTTTAATCTCAATTACACACAAATATGTTAGGTCTTTTCATGAAAATCTACTATATATATAAAAGCCCATGAGAAATTCCTTCCAATTTCATTCCTGAATTTTCCCGCCATAATTATTCATCCAATGGATGAAAATAGTTTGTTACACATGGCATCATCTCATGAAATCTCTATCTATAAAGGCATACAATCAGTTCTGGACAAAAGAATATTATCCCCACATCAACAATTTCAGTACATGGTATCTCCAAAGAATCAGTCCAAGCCAAGTAGTTCACTAATGTAATAACAAAAGAACTGCAAGTGCAATGGATATCACGCCATATTGAAACTCGCAGATAATGCCTTCCAATCAATGCCTCCTCCACAGATAATGCCCTCTTCCAATCACGCCATATTGAAACTGGCTTACAGTGTTCCTGAGGCTCAAATATTAGTATCAAAAAATCACATTGGGATCAGCATTGTAAAATACATAGGAATTTCGTCACAACCATTTTAATCTCACAGAATCAGTTCATTAGAGCTATTTGTATTTTCCAGAAATCCTCCCATCTCTACATGGGCTATAAAGAGGCTCAGAATTTAATATATTTATATACTATCATAACCAAAAGAATATTAAAACGCCATGGCTGGCTGCTTCTCGATGCTTACGAAACCATGCCAAGATACGTCTAATTCTCTTAATTTCATTAAACAGAAGATCATCACAGCCTCTTATTTATTAAAACCATTCCAGTCTCACAGATTGAAATGTACCCTGGATGCAAAGATTGAATGAAAGCACATAATTACATAACTTACCAGTAACATGGTCCCTCTAATACATTGCAAATATTCATTACAAGTGATACATACCAAAACAGTGAGGTCCTACATCTCTTCATTGTGACTTTCAATTGTAAACCAATATATTCTTATGGGTGTATAAATACCCTTCTCCTCTTACACACTACACACCCTTCCACCTTTATTTTATTACCATAGATTCACTTGCACCACTGTTTTTATACAATTAGCCTAATAATTTTCAAAAAATGCCTGCCCTTTGGACAAGGTTGATGGAACTACAACCATCTACATTTCGTGTGAATCTAAAATTAAGATTATTTCGTTCCTACGATCTCATGTCCTACAGGAACGCTGGAGAAATTTTTGCTCGGGAGTGTATATTTCACGACAATGAGGTATTTTCCATTAGACTTTTGTTTATCACCTGCTTTTCCAAATAAATTTAATTTTATGGTATAAAAATTTCAGGGGAACCACATCCTTGCAATATATCAAAAGGAGGAATAACCATTGTTTGGAGGCTTGGAGCAACACTAAAAGAAGGGAAGATATATCGAATAAGTAATCCTGCAGTTTTATCAAATAGCAAGCCTAACATTGTTTCAAATAAATTTAAGCCAGTTGAAATTGAGGAGCTTGTGGAGAGGAAAATGATGTTTGAAATTAAGGTTTCAAAATCCCAAGATCCACTCTATGAAGATAGTTTTAGTGTGTCCCAGGTTTCTACTGATCTGGCTTTCATTCAAAAACACTGCAATGACACACCATCTACCCAGGAATCAGTATCCCAACAAAAAAAAAAGACAAACATTGCGGTGGCAGAGGTGTTTGGATCAGTTAATGACCAGGTTTAATAGAGTGAACCATTTTCAGCAATTCTTTTTTTTCCCTAGCAATCTGAAAAAAAAATCTCACTCAGCAAGTTGTAACAAGCCAAAAAATTTGAAAATAGGCATCATAATTGATGTTGAGGGCCAGGAAGTGATTGGGCGTGATGAAAAAACAATTTAAAGAGGGATCTATTGAGTGATTTTGAAATAGCAGAGCAAGAGCAACTGAAAAGGCACAAAATAACAATCAAAGTTGAAAAAAATTGAAATCTTTCTTTCTTATATTCAAAGAGCCATAAAATCTACACTGGGCAATCAAATGGAGAGTTTATTTTCCAATGGTAAAGACAGAGGGAAAAGAAAGTGGCTCAGCACAAATGAAGGTAAGCACACTTCATTTGGTATCTTTTACTTATTATGCACATTTCATTAGGTATATATATTGAAAATCTTAGAGTGAAAGAATTTTAAAAAATATTTTGTATACAGGGGTTGTCATTGAAGACATGCAACTTTGAACTTAAGTACTTGGTAGAAGCAATATAACAACTTACTTGCCTTCATTAACATTAATGCTTGAAATAAATCTGGGAACATGAAAAAGTATTTGTTAAGTCAGGCATATTAAATTTTTATATTATATTCAAATTAATTACACATGATAAATTATAATGACACTCACTAGCATTACTTTAAGTTTCTTTCGTAACTGATTAAACCTGAAATAAAAATTAGAACAATTGAGAGCTTTAAATATTCAATGATATAAATGAAAAAGATTAAATTTTAAAAAGTTAGAAGTGCAACTGAAATAACTTAAATAATTTACTTTAGTTCATTTCAAAAAATGCTCCTGTAAAAAAAGTATAATCTTTAGTGTAGATTATCCTTATATGAATGACAGAGATTTAAATATAGATAAAATTAATAAATATATTAAATTGACTATTACTTTCGAAGAGATCCATTTTACATACCAGTTTTGTAATGATAAGAGGTGGTTTCTCTTCAGATCCAAAATTTAATAAAATATTAATGTAGGAGGAATGAGTACATTATAAATTGGCAGAGTATATGGAAATAAAAAAACAAGTGACAAAATTCTGATATAAGTACATTGTGTTGATGACCTTAACTCATGAAATAAGGTTTAAATATATCCCAGTAACTTTAATGGAATGGTAGGCTTAAAATTAAAAAACCCAAAACATATCCCAGGATCATAAAATTAAAAAACTCAAAATGTTGATTTTGCATGGATCTATAAACACATGAATCATGCTTAGAACTGAAAAATGGACACCCTGAGGAAAAATTTATATTTGAAAGTATGCATGGCAGATCGATTGATCTTCATTAAATATATTTCTATCTTCATGATTTGTTCTTCACTAATAATGTGAAAAACAACTCCCTTAGTTGATTCTCAGATCCTAACTCAGCAATCCCTTTTATGCATTCAATAAACCCAATGCATCTAATGCTTCATTAAATGTGTAATATAGAACGTTTTAATTGTCTTTGAGCTTTCATAACTTATACATCCTCGTTGGACAGTTAATCGTATTCTCAAGTAATATAACTTTCTTGTTGCTATTGACACATGTTATAGCTGGCCTATTGATGATCTTTGTTATCTCGGGAACCATTTTGGCCTTTTGTTGTTGTACACAAAATATCTTGGAATTATATGTAGTTCCAATCCCTAATTTACATTTTTATTGAAGTCCTGAATAGGCAACTCCAAACCCAAACATACTTTAAAAAAAAATGAAAATACAATTTATATTTTAATGTTTTAATTTTTTTAAAAAAACATTTCATTATGATTTATTTTTTAAATAAACTGCAAGCACATCTTTTTTACTTTTTACATCAATTTAATTTGTATTTTTTTTATTTTGAATATAATCAAATTATTAGAAGGTTTTATCTTTGAATTATAATATAGATAAGATGTGTGTTATATAATAAAAATGTATTATTTATCAATTTGTAATTTTTTGCATTTTAGTATACATAGTATACATTTTTACTTTTTAAAAATTCCCAAAAAATCAAGTTCATATTATTTTTTCTCGAGAAAACGATATTTGAATATCATTTACTTATTTCTTTCAAATAGTTTTTAGATGCATACTCCCTCTGGTCCTAAAAACATGAGAGTTATTATTTTTTAAGAGATTTAAGGATAGTGTATTTTAGTATTGAATTTTTAAAAAAGTACTTTGATGTGATGAGTAATAGTAGGATTTGATGAGTTGATTATTTGTGAAAATTAAAGGTATGATGTGATAGGTAGGGTATGAAAAAGTAAGGGCTAAAAGTAACTTTTTAATAAAAATAAGAAGTGTTTTTGGGACGGATGAAAAAAGAAAGAAGAAAAGTTTTCAGGGACGGAGATAGTATATTTTTTATTTTTTACATCAATTTTATTGTTTGTTTCATTTTTTGTGAAGACAAATTGCTAGGGGCTTTTTTTTCAAGAGTGTAGAAGTATGTGAAAATTATTGTTAAGCTCAAAGTTGATTTTTTTTTGCGTGTGAAGATAAATAAGGCATATGTTATAATAAAAAGACATTGAGGATCACATATTACTTTTTTCCTTTTTATATTTGTACTATTACCTTTGAGTGTGTAAATATTAAGCATTTTTTTATACCTTTTATTCATTAATAACTCTTATTATAATGTCCAAATTCTATGTATTTTTTATAAGTAAAGCTTGTACCGTATACGAATATAACAATTAAATTTTAAATTGGAAAACACTATTTTTAAAGCATAACTTTTATTAGAATTAGAATTGTTTTACTCTATATGGAATATTATTAATGCTCCATTATATAACATGCTAATAAAAGTCCTTTTCCTTTTATATACTTCTCTTTCTTTTTCAAAATAGGAAACGAATGCTATAAATATTAGTTACTACTACTGTTTATTATTATGATTTTTATTATACGTAGTTCCAATCCTTAGTTTATATTGTTTTTGTTGAGGTTGTGAAAACATTGTTCGAAATTTAATTTTACATTTTTATTTTTTTAGAATTTTTTTAAAAATCAAATTTATATTTTTTAATTTTCTTTTTTTATGAAAAAACATTTGTCTATCGAAAAATATAAAACCATTTGAGTATCGTTAATTTTTTAAATTAGTTTTAAATACACAATAAGGAAATTCCAATGAATATAACAAGAAAAGTTCTAGCCAATGTATGATTGCGGACATGTTTAAAAAAAATTGTCTACTACTTACTACACATGCCACATGTATTTTTGAAAGCCGACTTTTAAATTTTATATATAAAGATTTAATATTTGTAGTATCACTTTTAAGCACGTAAATATTAAACATTTTATACCTTTTCTTCATTAATAACTTTCATTATACTCCAAATTCTATGTATTTCTCTATAAACAAAGTGTGTACCATTTAATAATATAAAAATTAAATTTTAAAATACACAATAATAATTTTAAAATGGAGCATAATTTTTTTAGACCTAAATTTTTTTTATTGTGTATGAAATGTTATTAATACTCTCTTAAATAAACATGCCAATAAAAATCAATTTCGTTTGAAATATTTTTTTTCAAATTAGGAAACTAATTCTTTAAATGTTAGTTATTATTATTATTATTATTATTATTATTATTATCATTATTATTATTTTGCGTAGTTCTGGTCGCAAATTTTTACTTTTTATTGAGATCGTGAATACGCATTTCAAAACCCAAACATATATTTTTATTTTTTAGAAGTAATAAAAAATCATTTTATATTTGTTCATTTTCTTTTTTAAGACATTTCCGAAGAAGATGAAAGTAGTGTATGCATATTCCATGGATTAGTTCTTTATTTTGCATTTTCCTTTTATGGATGTATTTATTCTCTGCCACCTAAGCTTGCTATCACACAATTAGTTCTTTAAGAAGGCAACGCATCATCTCTGCCACATGTCGCACTATAGCTCCGCCAAATGTAACATTATAGCTCTGCCAAATGTCGCCTTCCTGCAACCCGAGTCTGCTTTATATATATAAAGGATATAACTTAAAGAAAGAAATCAATATATACTTACATAATTTTATTAAATGAAAGCAAAGTACATGAGTTGAGGACCAAATCAATTCCCCTTAAAAGATGCAAAAGGACAACTAAATTTTTTTCAATAGTAAAAAATGTGCTTGTCAATCCCAACTGAATTCTCTAATAGCAAATGTGCTTGTCGGTCCAAATTATTGTAGGATAGGAATAGGGAATGTAATACATTCCCATGAAAGATCATTTACAGCACCAAAGCTTACATTCTAATAAATTCAGTTATCAAGATAAAACTATAGGTTGAATACTCCAAAGTCGTCTCTTGCCAAACTCTCCATCCAAATACATTCTAAAAGATTTGATTTTAGAGAAATTTACCTAAATAGGACTAAAACATAATGACTTTCCCAATATAAGACCATATGTTTTTATTTCCTAATGTAAGACCTTTGGTCATAATAATGTAGTCATTATTCAAGTAAATGTCCATCATTACTGGACATTATTCCTCCACTAGGTCATTATTAAGTCCTATTTAGGGAATAAAAAAGTTCAAGTCCTACATTGGGAAAGTCATTATGTTTTAGTCCTATTTAGTGCAAATTTCACTTGATTTTAACCTTCAATTAGGCCATAAAAACATTCAATTCCTCTAAAAATGAGCAGTACATGGCGATATAGTAAAAGTTGCACATTTCAAATTTCAACACCTAAATTGCAGACTCCAGGGAATACATTACATAAAAAAACTAAAATCTAGCTTCAATTTGCATTGAAAATGAGTTGAATACTCATAAAAAGTATAGTTGACAAAGGGGAAAAATGTTGTATTGCATGGAGTTTTTTAAAACTGCATTTAAAGAGCATGCGAGCGTCAATGTTTCTCTCTAGAAGCTTCAAGTCTTCAATGACCTCAACAATCATTGGTTGTACGAGAGAGGTACTTCCCTAGCCCCCAGCTTTAGGTTTTTAACGACCTCAACAACCATTGCTGGAACACATTATAACCAAGTGGACTAAACATACAATTAAATAATGGTCTAATACCACAAAACATGTAAAAATTTAAAAATAATGATTTAAAGACCATCGTTAAATTGAAAAAATGTCAAAGCTACACTCAGAAAGTACCATAACCACAACCAAGAGTTAAAATAAAAAATGAAATAATGTTGAGCATTAGTCTAAAAGTCGAACACCTTAGTAAATGTTATACCCTTGAACTGCTTTTGTCACATCCTTTCTTCATGTTCAAAACTCTATACTCAAGAAGCATAAAAGAGAGCGATCATGTTTCTTAACTATCCAAAGCCATTTCAATGCCAAGACCATGATCGTGATCTAGAACTGAGAACAAATTCAAAGGGTAATGCCACATCCAATGCATACTATACGCTAAACAGATTAGGCTTTTGGCCTAAGATTCAAAATCCATAGAAGTTTATTGCAACTGTTTAAAAAGACAATACAACAAAATCTTAAGAGGTTTTACCAAGGAATTCATCTTGGTCAAAACTTACAATCTTCTCACACGTCAGCTTAAGAGGTTGAGGCTGAGATGACCCGCCAAGAGTCTTGTGTAATGTTATTTCCATGGTTAGTTTGGGCGTGTTTAATTTATTTGAATCAAACTAAAATTGGCTAGTATAAATAACAGACATGTTCCGTACATCATATTTTGTGATATAATATTTCCTAAAATAATGTGAGATGAATAATTGAAAACAATGATGCTAAATCAAATGACATTTAAACTATCAAATGTGATAAAAAAACTATTTCAAAAGGATGCCAAAAAAATGTGTAGCACCCTACATTATCAATACCTTGAAATATCTTGACTTTGACATACTGAATCACGACCACCACATGTTTCAAGAGTTCTTGTCCAAACTAACTTTTAAACTAGTCAACATACTCCCTAGATAAAGTTATATCTAAACTTTTTTTCTACTTTACCAAAGTAAAAAAATGTCATTACACATTTGTTGATGCAATGCACATGATTTTTTCAATGAAAGTCTTTTGGACTCCCTGTATATCTTCTTTAACATCAACATCTTCATCATCATCAACATCATCATTAGCATTGTTAGAGGTAGAGGCGTGATACATGTAAGGACCAAGAGCATCCGTTGAGGGAGTCTCTCACTGCTCGCTAGCTTTGACAAGAAGCTTGTTGAGGCTGAAACCATACACAGCTTGCTGAAGCTGAATATTGTCAAAGGAAGTTTGAAGATTTTGCATAGTTTCAAAGAGCATGGGCATAGTGACTTTCCCACCATGGGAACCTCTACAATGTTGGGATGGACTAGCCTCAACATGATCTCCTCCTTCACGTTCTTGCGCAACCCTCATCACGGTCTCCGGCTTGATCCTCCAAAAAGGAGTCTCCGATTCCATCTCGGTTGGAGCAAAATGAAATCCTTGTTGTTTCAGCAAATATGTGATGCGCAAAGGATGAGGAAGGGCTCTTGACTTAGCACGGAAAAATTCATATACGTCAAAATATACGATGGTTTCCATGAGTTTAACTTACAGATTATGAACGATGGTTTACATTCAAAATTCATATGCCTTGATTGGTACCGTTAGAGATTATCGTGAGTATTTTGGATAAAATTTCAATGATGTAGATTATTTTAAAAACATTCACACTAAACACTGTTCGTAAATAATTTTTTCAAGACACTAACCATAATCTCTAAATCTATTCCTAGTATTCCCAAGAGTGCCCATCTTTTTCTCCTGGGCAGCTTTGAGAGTGCCCCTATTCGTCTTCGATCTTCTCCCTGTATCCATGGGCGGATCTATAGCATAGGTTATGGGGGCAGCTGCCCTAGTGAATTTTTTTTTTAAATAAATAAATAAATAAATATATATATATATATATATATATATATATATTTATATATGTATGTATGTATGTATATTTTTAATGTTTATATATAATTGCCCCCACTAAAATAAAAAATTTGTCCCCAGTTTGATCCAAAACAATTAAATAGGCTAAAGACCCAATCCAAAAGTGGCCCAATTCACCAATTGTCCAAATTCCCAAAAATTAAATACTTGGTCCGTCCCTGAGTGTTTGTCCATTTTTGACTTTTGGAACTGTTCATCTAAGCACTTTGACTCATCAAATTCTCTCAATGTGTAAGCCTAAAAATAGTCATGTGTGATCTTGTTTGATTCGTTTTAACATATAGATTATTAATATACAATTTTTATAATTTTTTAATATACAAATTACAAGATAAAATGGATTAAAGAAGTGCATTAGATAATGTGCAAAAATGAAAGTAATGAGTATAATTTTCCTTCACTTTGGCTTTTGCAGAAATCGAGAACGAGAAGAGGAGCCGATTGAAGAGCCGATTCTGCCGAGTGCCGAACAGCCGGAACAGCCGAACAGCAGCACCGTCCGCCGCGCCGCCGTCTCCCATCCGCCGCGTCGCCTCCGAGCAGCACCGACCAGTCGTCAGTCGAGCACCAGGTATTTCCAAATAATTTTGTTTCCTTTTTAAATTATGAACTAAATAATTAGATAAATCTGAAAATTAGATTTATGTGTAATGTGTGATTGTGTGAAACCTTTTGAATAATTTGTTTTTATATTTCAATTTTCTATTTGATGAAATTGTTTATTATGTTGAATTGTTGATTACGGTAGTATTATCAATTATAATTTATAATTGTCCCAAAACATATGAATTGATGACTCTAGTCTCTAAAAATATATTAATTCTAAATTGATATATTTAAATAATTTTCTCTAATTTTTGGACATAGATTTAGTAAAAAAGTTTATCTCATTTTATATTTTTAGATACGGAAGAGTAGTAACCACATAAAAATAGGTGAGCACCACAGAGACGGCAGAACTTGGATTTTCATCCTGGAGGAAAACCAGGGTAACGGTCTTTCCTCCTTTACAACCTCAAGAGCTCAGTTCCTCATCCTCCACCTATTCTAGACAAAGCTTATGTTTTTGGTAGAAGAATAACACTCGAAGATGCTCCAAACCTCTCCATTTATGGTTTGAAATTGAGTTTAATGGTGAATTAGATTATAGAACAATAGGAGGAAATGAGGGGAAAAATCAGATTGCATAAACTTAGGTCTAAAAAAGTAAAATTTTAGGAGTTAGGACTATTTTGTTTTTTTTAAAGAGATTATTTTGTGAAATTGCATTTAACAAGACTAAAATAATGTATTTTTTATGTAGTTATGGTTTAAAAAGACTAAAATCTTGTAATGACTTATGCATATTATATTTTTATATATGTATAATTGTAAAAATATATAGGAAAATGGAGAAGTTTTTGAAACGGAAAGACCCACCAACATCAGCTTCTGCTTCATCTAGCAAGGCATTTTGTTTGTGTTGTTACTTGTTTAGAGATCATTTTGGAAGACAATGTGGTAGTGATGCTTTTGTGATTAATGGTTTTAATAGTTGGAACAAAACTGAGAGATTTGGACATCATGTGGACATCATAAGATTTTGTTTCATCTTAATAACATATTTTTTAAATTTAAATTTATGCTTATTATATTTGTGCTGACCAACTGTGCCCCCGGTGAAAAAAAAATCCTGGATCCGCCACTGCCTGTATCCTCCGTCAGTCCGTCTCAAGCTGGAAATCCTGGCATCCGATCCTTTTCTCCAAATCTCTCCGTAAAATCACAGCTCGGTTGCCCCTGTCCGCACTCCTACGCCGTCAGGACTTCGTTCGCAGTTCGGAGTCCGACTTCGTCTTCCTCTTGGTACTGTGACGGGTGTCCTACAACTCGACTTGCGAGTAACGGCAGAGGTGGTTTCTTAATAATCTTCCATCTCTAGTTGCTACTTGCGACCTCTCTTTGGTGTTTGGGACCTGTGAATTTTCGTGATTCCCTACTGCAGCGTTCTTTCGAGCGAGGCTTAAAATTTCAATCAAATTTTTATGTTTTCGTATTCAATTCTTGAGGTTGATTCTCAATTTTGATATTACAAATTGGATTTCGTTTGTTCAATTTGAATTTTGAATTCACAACTCCGATCTTATGTATCTACATTTGTAATTTTAAATTTGAATAGCTCATGTAATTCAAAAATTTGGAACTTGGATTTTTGGCTTATTAAACTCCGTACTCATTTGATCTCACATTGATGTTTTAATTCTTTGGTTTGTTTTTCATCATATCATGGTCATGAAATTAACTAGGAATTAATTAAACACAATGCAGACCAGTTTTGAAGCGATTGATGATTGAGCATGTGTAGATTGTTTGTATATGAGTAGTTTAACATCTTTGTTCCTATGTTATTTTTTTGAGAACAATTCATTGTTTCCATATGAGTTGTTTGTATTTTCTAAGTTTAAAAAATGTATTTCTCACTTACTTTAATTTCACATGCATTTCACAATAATGGTTCGAACAAAAGACCCCCTTTGGAAATATTGGTGTATTTATTTTTTATTTGTGTGTTTAATGGCTATTGGACTCATACTATTTTTTAGTAAAAAGTTTAACTTTAAACTGTGATTTCTTGTTGCAAATATGTGCACACATTTTAAGTCATATTTTTGAAAAAGTAAACATATAAAACACAAACATATGTATTCCAAATGTATGAAACGAATAATTAGCCATATTTAAAATTTTTCTCTGTTTTATACCCAAGCATACGAATGAACATATTATACCTTTATGGGAATTAGCTAACATAGCTCCGTACTAACGGACACTACAGTAGTTGAGCATTCTCTTGCTACAACTTCTAGAATTTCTTCTTGGCGTTATCACTCTTCTCAATAATTCTATTTTCTCGACAGAAGCAAAATAAAAAATCTGAACACCAGAGTAACAATGGTCGGGAGGGGAGAAAGATGGTGTGTGGTTACTGGTGGAAGAGGCTTTGTTGCTCGCCATTTGGTGGAAATGCTAATTTGTCATGGAATGTTCAGTGTCCGGGTTGCCGACTTAAGTCTTGAAATTAGGTTAGAGCCCCATGAGGAAAATGGCACCTTGGGTCAAGCTCTTCGGTCGGGCCGCGCCGTTTATGTGCCGATGGATCTCCGTGAAAAGTCACAAGTCTTAAAAGGTCATATTCTCATTTTTCATATTTGCTCACAAAACTTGAGATTTTACATCGTATGAATGAGTAACTTTTTCTTGTTCGAAACTAATTTAATCAAAACTTCTACCTGCTTGTGATTCTATTTTTGCAGCTTGTGAAGGAGCTGAAGTAGTTTTTCACATGGCTGCCCCAGATTCGTCAATCAACAACTACCAGCTCCATTACTCCGTCAATGTACAAGGTAAAAATCACATTCAGAAAGTGGGATTGTTTATCTGTGCTTCTTCATTCTTGTATTTAGGTTTAATATTTGTTTTTCTAACTGTTTTTTTCTTTGAGCATTTTAAATAGGCACTAAGAATGTTATTGATGCTTGTATTGAGCTAAAAGTGAAAAGACTTATCTACACCAGCTCTCCCAGTGTAGTTTTTGATGGCATTCATGGACTTTTTAATGTGGATGAATCTGCACCATATCCCGTTAAGGTTTAGATTTTATTAATACTTCAAGTGCAATTTTGTTGAACACAATTTCTAATGAGAAAGTACTGATGTATTAGTGTATCCTCTTCTCCAGCACAATGATTCATATTCTGAGACTAAAGCTGAAGGTGAGACACTGGTCATAAAGTCAAATGACAGTAATGGTCTGCTGACATGTTGCATCAGACCTAGTGGCATTTTTGGACCTGGTGATAGGTTACTTGTTCCTTCCTTAGTCACTGCTGCAAGGGCAGGGAAATCCAAGGTTGTTAGAAATTTTCATCTCTTATTCCTTGTGTATACTTGTAATTATACTCCATCTTATTTATGGTTAGTCGTGTGTCTCTTCTCAAACCCCCCAAATTTTTTGGGGTGTTGGGTGCGTATAATATGCACCCAGGAGACATTTTTCATATTAATCTGTTTGTTCTTTTATTTATTTGTCGAGTTTTACTAACACCAGAGGAAAAACTTTTTGTAAGACACCAGTTAGTGGACAAAACATGAAAACAGTGTTGTTCTTTTGATTAGTGAAGAAAACAAATCTGCATTCTTGCTCTTAAAATTAAACCGTTGGCATGCTTATATTTAATGAATGACTCAAAATTTTAAACCTGAACGATGCAGTTTATCATAGGTGATGGCAACAACATGTTTGATTTTACTTATGTTGAGAATGTGGCACACGCTCATATATGTGCTGAACGAGCTTTAGCATCAGAAGGAACTGTTGCAGAGAATGCTGCTGGACAAGTAATTTGTCCTCTTATCTGTGAGATTATAACAGTGTGCTTGCTCATGACTATCAATTTCTTAAAGAAGATTGTACGATGTGTTGATTCATGATTGTTTGCTTGGATGACGTCTACTTAAATGTCTTGCAGGCATACTTTATTACTAATCTGGAGCCTATCAAGTTTTGGGAATTTATCTCCCTTATTCTTGAAGGTCTTGGCTATAAAAGGTGTTTTATTCATTCACTGGTCCATAAATTGCACATATTCACAATTGTTCTTCTAATCCTCTTGAGATTCATATTATTGTTAGATAACTTCCACAAATTTAATCATTCTTCCACCTACATTATAATTATGAGGAAATTGTTGAAGATTGAATTCATTGAAATAATCTGCATATTCACCAAGTTTCAAGGCATTAACACTAATTTAAAGACCTTTGATCCTTCAGAAAAACAAAGTCCTAACCTTTTGAAATGCTAATTAACATAATCAGTTTATACCCTTCACTCAGTTCTACGTGGATGCCAGAAACATGATGACACATTAAACAAGAACAAAAATGCAGGCTGATAGAGATAATTACGAATTAGTTAGCATCTCCCTCACTTTCTTCTGTACAAAAAAATTCAAGATACTCATTCTCTTCTTAATTCAACCTTGATTTTCTTACAAAAACTCCATTTCTATTCTATAAATGTTGGAAACGGATCTCATTCATTATATTGTGTGAGATGGGAATCTTCTCTGGAGATCGTAATCATCCGTCTAGTATTCGTCAAGGCAACAGGAAACCCCAACATGATTCTGTACAATCATCTTGTGCAGTGTGATCTTTGACTGCCTTGTCAGTTGTCACATTTCCACCATCTACACATGGTAAGTTTGCTGGAGAAAATAGATGGATGACCTTTTAAACTTAGATTTTGAAACATTATGTACCCTTTTTTTAAAACAAAGGGTCAGAGGTTGTGACAGTTTTTCTTAATAACCTTGAAAGTTGGTGTATTTATCAATTGTTTACGCTTAAAATTATTGTATATGTGAGAGAAATGAAACCGTAAAATTTAGAGAGAACACTACTCTTATGTTTGAAAAATTAAAGATTCACATTTCTTATATTTCAAGTGTTGAGTCCCTTGCCTTTGAATTGTGGTATGGGCAGGATTATATGTGATAGTGAAATGTCCATTAATTTCATTCGTTGACTTCTAGGAACATCCTTTATGATTTTGGAAAACTACAAGGATTGCAATGAACTAATAACTCATAGATTTCACTAGCTACCTAAAGTTGTCTCTTTGAACCATTCAAACTGTTGTTTGTAATGGTAAAATATTCAAGATAGATTCTGCCTTATATGCTAAATTGTCTATTTTATATTATTTTGGCCTGGTTTTAATTGCCCGCCCTTGTTTGTTGGTTTTGATGGAAGGGTACTTTTGATATTGCTCAGACTTTATAGCAACTCCAATGGGGAGTGTAAAAAATTAAAAGCTAAATGTCATTTTAGCTCTCCAATAGTGTTTTAGCTTCTAAGTATTTTATCACTACTCCAACCATCACAACTATTTTATACACTTTTATTATTTTTAATATTAATTACTTGTATTTAAATATTATAAATCAAATTTTAATCCTTCTATTGCAAATGAAAACCAAAAAAATCTTCGCTAAATACTTTTCCCACAAGTTCCATAAAAAAATCCAAAAATATCTTCATCAAAAAACAAAATCTTCCAAAAAATCTTCATTGGTGCAGATACATAGTGCAGATCCCCTGCATACCCAAAAAAAACTCTAATCCAAAAAAATCTTCAAAAACAATTCTGAAATAATCTAAATATTACAGAAATCTTCATAAAACATTCCAACAAAAAAATCTTATCCTTTGGGAAATTTTGGGGGCATTTCCAGAAATAAAATTCCATCGGTGAAGATCATAGTTGCAATTCCAGCAAAAAAAAGAGGCAGAGCCATACCTCCAGGAGAAGAACAAAGGAGAAAATACTAGGGTTGGCACAGCACCGATAAGATAGCAGCAAAGAGAGCAATACTAGGGTTAGCGCTATTTCCACTATCTACAGTAGCATCTATATTTGGCTTACGAGAAACCACAAATAGACTACCTTTTATATTTAACACTGCGCATTGGAGGTGCAGATTTTGTACAGTAAAAGCTAAAACTTTTATATTTTAGGCTTTATTCAGTTCAAACGTTAGACTAATTGTCTGCAGTATTGTGTAGGGCAGTATATGAGTATAGTGCTGTATGGATCTAGTCTAGTACATATAAGGGTGGATGTATCACTTGTATGTCAGTATGTCACAATATTGCATCTCCCTTAATGAGTAGCTTTAGGTGGCATTTGATTCACTTACCGTTCACATTTAAGATGTATACTATCTTTATTTCTGATTTTATGTAGTATGCAGGCCAAGTATTAAGATTCCTGCCTATGTTATGATGCCAATTGCTCATGTGGTCGAGTGGACATATAAGCTATTTGGCCCATATGGAATGAAGGTCCCACAGTTGACACCTTCACGAATACGACTTTTATCTTGCAGCAGGACATTTAGTTGTTCAAAAGCAAATGATCTACTGGGCTATACACCGATTGTCACTCTTCAGGTTTTTTCTTATGTGTTGAAATGACTCAATTTCATTTTATTTCCCACTATCTGCATCCGCATTTGTTTACAAGGCATTTTATCTGTATCCATTTGAAGCGGATATTGTCCTATTGTTGATGTCCGATTATAAATGGATAGGTATGTGGCAATTAGATATCTACTCCATTCAATATTCCCTCCAAATACGTATATGTATTTATATTTTATTTTATTTATTTAAAATTTAGTTTTGGCCCTCGAAAATAGTTTTTACTCCAAGGTTTTTAATTAAGTCATCGATGTAAAATTTATTTTTTTCGCAAATGGTCCTCCCACCAATTTAGAGTTAATGTTTCGGTGTTTAAAGTGACCAAAAACAAAATCGCTATGGACTTAAAAAATTTCAAACAGACCAAAAACCAATCACGAATTTTATAGGGACCAAAAACATATTCTACATTAACTCCAAATTTTAAAAAATTAGTGGGAAGCCTATTTGCAAAAAATACATTTTACAGAGATGACTTAATTGAAATATGCAATAGATGGACCAAAAGCAAAAGTTGCTCATTTTATAGGGACCAAATACATATTTAACCCTAAAATGACATCAGTGCTATTGGTGTCAATTGCTTACACCAGTTCGTTTAGGTTACCAACGGTGCCCCGTTGGTAGTATATTGCCTGGGTAGGGAGGGGGGCAGGGAGGGGGGATTTAAGGGGAGGGTTAGGGGGGTAGGAACCATCATTTTTACAAAAAAGGCACTGTAGGTGCACCAAATGAATTGGTGCAAGCAAATGACATTCAGTAGCACTGGTATCATTTTAGACTTATATATGTATATACGGTGAGATGACGCAAATGACACATTACGGTGAGATGACATGCTACGGTGAGATGATGCCAAGTTCACCACATTACACTGCAAAGCTCACCAATGGCCAATGCAAAGCTCACCTGGAAATAAATCAAAGCTCACCTCTTTGAACACCAAAACTCACCATTATGTGACTAGATGCAGATATTGGTTTTGATTTTTGAATATCTGCCAACTGTATCTGATCTGATATTTGATAAAATTAAATAAAAAAAGATATGGTAGTGACACATCCCCGTTCATTTAGTATCTTACACCTTGAGATGAAAAATACTTTAGATCCATAATAAAAATGTTTAATTATGTATTTAGTCTCTCTGTCCCTGTAAAATAGGCGAGTTTTGTTTTTAGTCATTGTAAAACATTTTTTGTTAAGTCATCCTTACAAAGTTTTTTATTTTGATAATGGGCCCTTATAAGTAAGTAATTAAGTAACTAAGACTTAATTTGTTGACAATTTGACATAAAACATATTTCGTACTCAACATCTTTTAGTTTTGCATTTCTATTTACTTCAGACACGAATTTCATGTTCTAAATTATGTTCTTTATCAAATTACATCTTCAATTCCCAAATTTGTATTATATTATTTTCCTAAGAAATTTGAGAGTTGGAGATGTAATATGAATAAGCACACAATTTAGGCTTGGAAATTGTGTCAGACGTAATTAGAAATGCTAGACTAAGATGTTGAGTATGAAATAAATGTGCTATCTCATCTAATTAGAAGTGCTAATTACGTTTAAGGACTATTTTCCAAATAATTTTTTTTGTAAGGATGACTTCAACAAAAAAATATTTTAACAAAAATATTAAATGGACACGGATATGGTAATGCCACATCTGATTCATTTACTATCCTACCCTTAGGGATGAATATCACTTTATATCCTTAACATGGTTTTAAAAGGCGGCCGAGGTGGTCCGCCTCGAGGCGGTAAGGCAGTTGCATTTTGCCTCTGAGGTTTAAGCCTCACAATGTTGAGGCGGTCTTACGCGGTAAGGCGTAATCGAGGCGTAAGCCTCAATATTTATAAGAATTTCAACAGTTATAAGGGTTATTTTTAAAAAGCTATTGGGCCTCTTTTACAAAATCTCTTTTGGGCCAGTGCACTGTTTAGTTGCTTGAAATAAACCTAGTAGACTGTAGATAATAAACACTTCTTTCCCAGACTTTAGCTTCAACTTTTGTCTCTTCATCTTCTATCGTACTTCTCTTCATCTTCAGTAGCACAGCTTCTCTCTTGCGGTAACAGCTATGTCAATTGCTTCATATTTTAATAGCTTATCTTCTATTTCTTTAATCTTTTTTCTTTCAACTTTTATTTTTTTCAATTCCTTCTTTTCCAGCATCCCTCTGCCTCTTTTAAATTCAGTTCAAACTTCAAAGAATGATGTAACTTTTTTTTGCATGAACTTTTGTCCATATTTAGGCCTTTTTTTGGGTTGGAAAAATTAACTTCTAACTCCTTCCAACTCCTTTTGGTTCTTTCCACCTCTTCCAGTTTCTTCCAACAACGACTTAAAAAAGGTATAAATATATGATGAATATACAATAAGTTTATATATCCAAATTTATAGCATACCACCTCAAGTACGGATTAAGATGAATTCTTTTTTATCCAAAATTAGAGTTTTCTTACATATTTATTTGGGTTATCTTTTTTATCCACTATTATTTTATTTTTATTTTTTGCATCTCAAAATGTGATTTGTCTTCATGTAGGAGGGTCTTAGGAGGACCATCGACTCATACCCACATTTGAGAGCTGAAACAAAAAGTAGGAGGGGTGGGCCTTCTAAAGCTTCCATGCTTCTTGGAAAAGGAAGGGGTATGCATGCGTTGTTCTCTCTATATTCTACTAACCTAATTATTTCTCATGCAACAAACAACAACAACCCAGTTAAATCCCACAAAAGTAGGGTCTGGGGAGGGTGTGTGTACGCAGACCTTGCCCCTACTCGAAAGTAGAGAGGCTGTTTCCAAAGAGACCCCCTCATGCAACAGTGTGTCCAAATCCAATTTGTATGGTTTGAAATTTATTATTGTGATAGTTAAGTTTTATATTTTAAATTGAAGTGTAGTTTTTAGCCATTGCTAACCTTCTGGCAGAACACAGCACTTAATGATTCTATACATATTGCTATTACGTTATCTGATACTGCATGATTGTCCACCCATTTATATGTTGGTTATAGACTTATAGTGCTGGTGCACTTGCCCCTCTACCCTTTCTAGATAGGGGTAAGGTTTGTCAGTTTGTGGACACCCACCTCGGAACACCATTGTGGGATGTCAATGGGTTGTTGTTGTTGTTGTTGTTGTACTGCCAGTGCGCTTTTACGATGATCTCTTTGTCCACAACTTTTAAAATTGTTTTACTCGCCTGAAATTGTTGATTGAAGTCCAGAACGGCATCTTAATAGGGTACGTCTTCAAGTACTTTTCCAAAACATGTACAAGCTGTCCAACTTTTGGCTCTCTTGCACTAGGAATTATTATTCTTTTTTGACGTGGTTTGATTATGATCACATGTTTTTCCAGAAGTCATACAAGCTGCACAATATTTCCTTTTTTTGAAGGTTATACAAATGTAACACAGATTGTATTCAGTTTTTAATACTATCATTATTCTGAACTTTTTTTTTTGTTTTGCACAACCCTTCTGCAAATTGAACATACTGTTTTTAGTCTTCATGAAATGTATCGCAGTATATTGCATGATAATCAAAGCTAACAAAAGTTGAGGGGATGGATGAATCAGTGTGTAATAAGACTTGTTATATATGGCTGACCATGACCAGACATGTCTTTTGATGTCATTATTTACTGTTCGATTTTAAATCAAGTTAGGAATAGCATTCTAAAAAACAGTTATTGCACTACATGTTTCAGTTGCTGACACACTTCTCTGGAGGGATAAAAAGCAAACAATCACTGCAGCAATAATTCTTGCAGCAATTTACCTCAATTTCATAGCAGTGGGATATACCATGATAACAGCAATTTCCAAACTACTCTTAATGGCATCTATTTTCCTGTTCATCCATGGAAAGTTGCCACTGAAAATGTAAGTCTTTCTCACTTTTTCTCACAGAGCACACATATGCACATAAACATAATGGAAGATTGTAAAAAACATTTAAGTTAATAACATACTGTACAACACAACTGCCTACTCCTCTATAAATACTTCCAGTGTGGAATGCTGGAAGCATAGGTGCAAATATTGATTTCAACAGTCTGCTCGTTTTGGTATTGAAGACCTCACATTTTTCATGATTAATTTTTTTTTGTAAAAGTTATTAAAGTTTACACTCTTTACTTAGCTTCTCCATAAATATAAATCAAGTCACTCTTTAAGAAACCTATTAAGAAGGCTGTAGTTTTTCCAAAAATTATATATTTTACTCTCTCCATCCCAAAATAAACTTCACACTTTCCTTCTACTTCCGTGTGAACTGTGAAAATTAGCTCCACACTTTCCCTATTGTTCTTTGAAGGAAAGGAATGTGTGACTCACAACATATCTCTTTCTTCTAAACAAATCCTAACCATACACTTCACTTTTAAACTCTTTTCTAGAACTCTTTGAATTCAAACCATGAAGTTTATTTTTGAATGGAGGGAGTAAATAATAGAATAAAAAACATTTTCATCTCTTAATTTTTTGATGTTCATTCTTTCCATATTCTTTAAAGCAGCAAATAAGAAGTTATTGATTAAAAATTTGTTGTTTATTTGTGACATTGTATTTGACATTACCATGGTATCATTCGATTCCCTCATCCTTGTACAAATGCGAAATATAGACTTTTTGTGGGCGTGCTTTAGTATTTTACCAAGTTTTCTATGCATCGTATTGGATCTCATGTTGAAAGTGAACTTCATGTCACATCAATCATGAACAAGCAACTGCCAATGGGTTATTCCAAGTTTTGTTTTCTTTTCTAGCATTGTTAGAGATACACCCTTTGAGACGTAAACATTGAGCATCGAGTGTGGCTGACATGGAATAACTATACAACATTGATGTGATCATTGATCTACACTTTTGCCTTTTTCTCCACTCTTATGTATTGGGATTAACACTTTGTTGTTGTTTTGATAAATATAATTAAGAAAAGGTAGAAGATTTCAAGAGGGTATTCCATAAGTAGAAACAACAACAAAGCCTTATCCCTCTAGGTGGGGTTGGTTACATGGATCAAACAACGCCATTGTATCCTATCATGTATCATATCTGTTGTGAGATCATTCAATATCACACGAAGGCCCCCCATGACCACTTCGTGCCAAGTCTTCTTAGGTCGACTTCTTCCTCTAACCATATGTCTATTCACCATTTGATTAACCCTTCTCACCGGATCCTCTATTGGTCTTCTCTTCACATGTCCAAACCGCCTAAGACGAGTTTCCACCATCTTCTCTACAATAGGTGCCACTCCAACTTTAGCTCTCATATCTTCATTCCTTATTCTATCCATACATGTCTAATTCTCCCTCTAACCACATGTCTATTCACCATTTGATTAACCCTTCTCACCGGATCCTCTATTGGTCTTCTCTCCACATGTCCAAATCGCCTAATACGAGTTTCCACCATCTTCTGATTCTTCTCTACAATAGGTGCCACTCCAACTTTAGCTCTAATGTCTTCATTCCTTATTCTATCAATACACGTATGTCTGCTCATCCATCAAAGCATCTTCATTTCCGCCAAACTAACCTTGTGTACATGTTCACCCTTTGTAGCCCAAATCTCTGTTCCTTAAAATATAGCACAATATAGCTTGTCTAATATAGCTTTGTCACATATAAAGCTGACGCACTCCGCCATTTTGACCAACCGGCTTGGATCCTGTGGTTAATATCATCTTGTAATAGATTAAAACCATTAAAGTTACTAAATATTTTGTGTCTTGTTCTTTAGTAGATGTATAGTGAGATTTCGCTAGTGTGCCTGTACCTCAAACATTTCTACTTAGCATCATGGTGAGATTCAACGTTTCTTTTAGTTCAAAATATATGCTATAAAACATGCACCTGCAAAGTGGAAAACTTTATGAAACAAGCTGGAAGAGAGTATTTCAAGAGTTCTGATGGATGGACGGGTTGTGCAGATTTGGATATAGTATTGAGAAAATTCACAAGTCCAAATTCACTGTCTCAGAGGAGACGTCTTTTGAAGTTGCAGGATCAGTAGCTTCCTTTTGGAACTCAGCAGTAAATAGCTTAAAATTGCTTTGCAGGGGAAACGATTGGATGCTATTCCTCAAGGTAATCGTTATGCCATTCAATTTTTTCCATGTTAAATGCTTTTCGTCCAGTAGTCGTTTTCTTCGACGGGGCCTGGGGGTCTAGTCTTTAATATATATTTGACATGTATATGTATGTATGTATGTATGTATGTATGAAGGGCTAAAGAGAGAGAAAAGTAAGCTAGTAGCAAGCTGGGCGAAAAATTAAATGAGTCAAAAATATTTTTGAAGGCTACTTAAGCAGCAAAAAGCTCTTTTACAAGAATTTCTGTATTAGATGTCTTTTAGAAAGCTTAGGTTGGGTAAACAACATCCAGGGGAACAGGATTTTGTTATCCTCCAATGATTTATGAAGTAGTCTGTGTACTTTGATACAGGTGGTGTTCTCTTTAATGATCCTGAGCATCTTGGGGACCTTTTCACTACATAGTTTATTTGTCATAGGTTCGTCTCTTTCTCATGATCTAACACCTCTGTCTTCACATATAATAGTTTTGAAATGTATTCATCTACAACATGTTTGGAAACTAGAACTTGGATTTCAAATCCAGATTTGGCTCAAATTCTATGTTTGGGAAATCTAAAAAATTTGGATTTGGATTTGAGGCAAATTCCTCTAATTCATTACAAAGCTCAATTGCAAATCCATAGGTCTCCCTTTATCATTTGAAATTCAAGAAGTGAAATGCATGAATTGAAATGAAGTGCTAGTTTCCAAACACTACCTAAATGAAATTTAATACAAAATGATTGCTAATGTATTCTGTGCTTGTGATTTGTGAATCACACTTAAAATAGATATGTGCAATTTGAAGGTCATAGTTTCTAGCAATGGGCTCTAACAATCAATTCCTTTGTCATTACTATAGTGTTCCCAATTGCGTTTGTTGCTTTCTTGGTATATGAGAAAAAGGAGGAACAAATTGATCACTTGGTTCTTGAAGTTACCTCTTCTGCATGCAAACTCAAGTCTAGAATGGTTGGGAAAGTTTTCAGCTCCAAGAAAAAGCAATAGTCGGCTATCGGATGGAGCAGAATCTGCACCTTTTTATTCATTGAGGCTTTTTCATAGTTTTCAGAGGTTTTTGCTATTGCTGGCTCTCTCAAAGCTCCAAGTCCCGATTCCATCTTGCCTGCATCGAAACATCTTTTTGGGATCCAGTCTTTGTATGGGTCCTCCCAATTCTATGCTCTTTTGCCTTCATCGTTCTTGTTGTTGAACAAAATGTGTTATTTCATTCATTTAGTTTTGACCTATTCATCCACATCACAAAAAACTCGTCTGGTGCGATGTGTTGCTGATGCAACACCAATTTTTGTAAACTTGGGACCTATGGTTGTAATGCAAAGTATGTGCCTTGGGGCCTGTTTGGTTAACCCCTGTATTGAAATTAGACTATGATTAATGTCAGTATTTCAACTACTACGTATATTCTTGGTGTTTAGCTATTCTTAGTTGAATGTTGAGGGAATGCTTTAAAAATATATATTGAATTTTGAGCTAATATTTGAAATATAGTTCCTCATTCCAATTTGAGTTGCATATTCTCTATTTACTTTATTTAGATGAAGAGATTCATATAGAACAACCCTATGGGTTCAAAGCTCCATGGGAATATAGAAAACCTTGTTAAACCCAATAAGCCATTGTGTGGTCTCAAACAAGTGTCGAAGCAGTTATATGAGAAGTTTGACCAAACACTGATTGACCTTTGTTTCAAAATCAATGAAGCGGATGTCTATTTGAAAGACACAACAATGTGTTATGTCATTATGTGTTTGAAGTTTACATACTCATACTGGGTACTAATGAGAAGATGGTCAAATCTACCAAGAACATATTAAACTCATAATTCAACGTGTTTGACTGAAATAGTTCTTAGATTTTAATGTGTGAAAAGACCAGATGGTCTCGCTTTTCACCAATCTCATTACATTGACGATATCATTGATAAATGTAACAAGGATGATGACAAAGTGACAAAGAGGTCATTGGACATCAAGTATCACCTCGCTAAAATTGAGGTATAAACTGATAACTCTCAAAGTGAGCATGGAAGAGTTAGTGAAAGTTTGATGTACCCAATGAGCTACATTTGGCCGTACTTAGCCTATGTTATTAGCAAAGTGAGTATTTATACTAGTAGTCCGAGTATTGAGCATTGAAAGACTAGTGTATGGGTGATGAGAACTTTATGATTTACCTGGAATCACAGATTGTGCTACACTAGATATCCAAAAATATTAGAACGACGCATAGATGCAAAAGGAATCATTATATATAATCATTATATATAATATTTGAGAGTTAATCTCCTAGAATGTTGACATGTGGCGTCGCTTTTTTTAACAAGTCAGCAATCCATGTGGCATAAGTATACAGAATAATTTGTGTACCAATTACACGGACTTTACATATATGATCTGTATATTTATTATTTGCCCTTATATGGTTGTATTTGGCATATGACTTTATTATTATTATTATTATTATTATTATTATTATTATTATTATTAATAATATGGGGCACTCGTGCTCAATTCTTATTTTTCGTTTATTTTTTTCCCTTTTTTCTTTATGGTTTCTGATATTAATCAAGGTTTTCTAAATTTATTTTTAAAATTGTTTTATAATGTTTTTAACATATATGGAAAATAATAATTAACATATACTGCTTCTCTACATCCCATATTAACATTTTTTTTATTTTTCATTCCGAAATAAAAAAGTAAAAAGTTTTTTTGAGATATAAAAAATGAGGAATAAAATAATTAATAAAATTAAACAAAAAATAAAAATGAATATCCGTTTTGGACATCCCAATTATAAGAATTTTTAAGACGTTCTGAAAACTCTTTTTGTATAAGACTTTTTTTGCGTAATTTTTTTCATTTTGTTTTTCCATTTTTTTTTAATTTTTTATTCTCAATTTCTGTTTGAACTAACCAAAAAATTATTCTAGAAAGCAAAAAGTTAAAATGCATAATTTGAGATAGGTTAAGTACATGTTATTTTTTTATATTTATTTCAAACACAAAAAACTTTGAAATTTTAAAAAATTATAAGAAATTGAAAAAAACTTGAAAAACTTTTCTAAGAAAACGAAACAGATAGAAAAAAAGAGTTAAAAAAGAGAAAAATCTAATTAATAAACAAAAAATAAGAAAAGAGCATGAGTGCCCCTATGGTTTGGAAAATAGGCATTAAATGCCTTCTTTTTGTTGAAAAATGATCAAAGGGGTCTGAGTGTAACATTTTGAAACTATAAGGATTTTAAGATAACTTTTGATATGGGTGTTGGTGGCAATTTTTCAAACCACAGGGGGCACTGGAGCTATTAGACCGATTTTTTTATACAAACTATACATTTTTCTCAACCCCTTGGTTCCATGACATTGGGAATCAATGTCATGGGATGACCCGGGTGCGCTCCGGTGCCCCGTTCGTAAAATTGACGGTTCTTACCCCATCCTAACCCCCCCAGTAAACCCCCCCCACCCCGTCCCGATCCGAACACACCCCCCCCACTCCCTTATGTTGGACCCCACAAGTCGATTTTGACTTTGGAGTCAAAATTTGACTCCAAAGTCAAAATCGACTTGTGGGGTGCAATTGAAGGAGGTGGAGGGGTGTGTTCGGGTCGGGGCAGGGTGGGGGGGTTTACCCGGGGGGTTAGGAGGGGTAGGAACCTTCAATTTTACGAACGGGACACCGGAGCGCACCCGGTTCCTCCCATGACATTGATTCCCAATGTCATGGGAACCTTCCTTTTCTCAAAGTATATCTACTTCTTCCACTAAATATAAATTTAAAAAAACGCAAAGAACACTTAGCTTGCACATATTTTAAGGCTTACGTCGCACATCGTAAAAAAGGTAGACTTTATCGTTTACACTTTCACTCTTCAAATATTGTTTATTTTACATTGATGTTGATGTATATTGTATTAAAAATCATATTGAAAATATATTTTATTTAATCTGGAAAAAATATTTCATTGGAAAAAATATTAGAATCAACAAAAATTTTGTTTCACCCGTCGCACGGGTCAAAATACTAGTATTTGATATAAAAGGCCCGAAGTCTATGAGTATGTTTTTACGTGAACATGTGCAACTCTATCTTGTAAAATTTTAAAGCAATCATTGATGGCTAAGTCTCTATGAAATCTAAGTTCATAGTTGTAGATATACGTGCGAAGTAGAGAGCAGAATGGCTACACTATTTCTTATAATGATCATATGAAATTCAAATGTTAGATTTTAACAATCGATCATATCCGTTTAAACGTTTGGGTAATAATTACTAGAATAATGTCAAAGTGATTAAAAAGATATACAAAATGATTGAAAAAGCATGTTGATCATACCAAATTAGAAGTGTGCTTTTTGGAGTGGGACGCTCGATTTAGAAAATGTGCCTTTTGGCACGGAACGATGGAGTATATTATTCGAACAAAATTGAGTTTCACCAGAAAAGTTATAACTAAAATACGTTTTGGAGTAGAAATAAAAAATTTGAATTCAAATATATAAAAATTTAAAATATTTGATAGTTGCAAGGATTCTTCAAAAATTTGTTTCCCAATCTAATTATGCCCACCTTCTCATATATAGGCATGGTGGACGGAGAATACACTTTATTACGGAGTACATGTATTTGTCAGGAAATGAACCATCCTCCAAACTCCAACCGAAACTTGCCAACCAACACTCTTTATTCCATCAATCCATGTTTGTTGGCTATTGCATTCAACAACCTCTTTATTATAGAAGATACCATAGTCTTAAGGTTCATATATGAAATCTGAATCTTCTCATACGTTATGGGCTGGCATCTGGATCTGTTTTTGCAGAGACTCAATTCTTTTATGATAATTGATATTATGCATTAAAGTCTAGAAAACGAGCATACACATAAGAATCAGAAAAAAAGTTACCTTATTTTTATTATAGTACTCAGTAATTGCACATGCATTCATCAACAAGATTGATAAAACGCGAAAATAAAGAAAACAGAATGTGGAGTATGATGAAACTCATAGAATATTAAATACTAGGATAGAGTTTATTAGATAATTCTACATATGCTTTGCACCAAACAATATTAAGAGATTTAGTTGGTGTTTTTCTGTACATATAAGCTGGTCAAAACTGTTTATAATATGTTCTTAATTTATAAATCAGTTGATAACATGTTTCCATGTGCTTATAAGCTGACCTATAAGCACCTTATAACCTATAAATAATAAGTAGGTCTTATGTACAGATTTTTTAGCCAATTTTTTTTAAAACATCGTTTTGATCAGATTATTTACAAAACTATTTCACTATTTATGAATATTCCCAAATAACTTACCAATCGTCTAAGTCATTTTACTTATACGAGAGAACATTTAACTTATAAGTAATTTATTCCTTCTGTCCCATTTGGTATTGCCCGTTTGACTTTGGGTTATAATTAAGGAAGAGAAAAAATGACATCGACCATCCCAAATTGCCCTTCAATCTATTAAATGAAATGAAAATGACCTTCCCAAGTGCTCCTCGCCCCGGTCCCATATGCACCAACATATATTATACAATCAAACACACATGAAATCAAACTCCAAACATAGTCCAAATTATACTCGCCAATATCCTCTAGGACGATTTGATCTAAGAAAGTTGGAGGCACAACGATTCTTAATTCTAGCATTAATTTCCGTTGTATTGTTTCAAACTTTAGTTTTATTTCAGTGTATTTCTTTTTTATTTCGGTGTTTTAAATAAAGAGTGTCCTTGTCGGCATTTTTATTTTACTTATACGTATTTTTTAAAATAAAAATATAAATTAATAATGATAAATAGCGTAAAAGAAATATAGAGACCAAACAAGAGAGTGATCACATTAGAGGTATTTTGAGGTAGGGATGGGTTGGAAAAACCGAAAACCGAAAATCGAACCGAAATCAATCGAAATGAGCTAGAAAAAAGACCGAACCGAAAAAACCGAAACTGAATGTAAAAAAACTAAACCGAACCGTTAGTGTTTGGTTTCATTTTGGTTTTCACTTTGAAAAATCGAACCAAACCGAATAAACCAAACTTTCTTAGATACTTCACTTTATTTATATGAATATATGGATATGTTAAAAAATCATAGAAATATAAATGCAAATAAATTACTAGTCGATTAAAATTATTTTCTTAACTAGTTTTTAAACATTCTAGCCATATTATTATAAACTTTAAAAAACCTAGCTAATAATATGAACACCAATAGCTGATCCTAATATAGAATTATATTAAGATTAAAAATTGATACACGTAATTTACATATTTACATAAAAAATACTTTGATGTTATAACGAAAATGAAAGTATTATGCCAAAAAAATATAAATTCTTCGTAATTGATTTTACAGATGTTATCTTTGAAAGTATTTGGAGTCTTCTAAATGTTTGTTGGGCACTTAACACATATTTTTTTATGTAAAATTGAACTAAAAGAAACAATAACCTTCCGTTTGGTTTTGTTTTTGTGTAAAAATCAAACAAAAAACCAAAACTAACATTACATATTGTTATTGTTTCATCGAATTAGTGTTTTTACAATTTTTTAATGCTTATAAATTTCTACTTTTATAAACTGAAAAAACTAAAAAAAATCAAAATAAAAACCATATAAATCCGAACTGAATAACCAACGATTTACATACTCCGTATTTTTATGTAAAACCAAACCGAACCGTTAATTTAATCTCAATTCTTTCTTTGATTTTGGGTGAAAACAGAACAGCCAAACTGAAACCACCCAGTCCACAACGCTTTTAGAAACGCAGAGAACTGAAAATAAACGCGGGATTGTGGCGGAGATTCCCAACTTCAGTTTGACTTCTCTCTCTCTCTCTCTCTCTCCCCCCACAATCCATCAACCAAAATTCCAGGTCTGTTACGGAGTGCCTTTTTAAAAATCTTTTCTAGCTTTGTATTTTCTGAATTTCCAATTCCAGCGATTTGTCTTGTCCGATTACTTTGTTCATTCATTGCGTAATTTTATACTTGGGATTAGCAATTGTTTGATCCGGGTATGTAAAATTGAAGTCTATGCTTGATGAATTGTGTTGAAAAAAAGATTTTATGCATCAGATCAAGGGAAATTGAAAGAAATATGAACAAATTCTGGGTCTACAACGTTTAAGATAACTTGCAGGGAGTAATATCAGTGATAAAATTTTGATTGTAATAAATTGGGTGAGTCGGTTGGGAAAATCTAAATCTGCGAATGGTTGTACTTTAGTTAATGAATAATCTTAATCTAAAATCTTGCAGCGATCATTTCCTGAGAAACAGTTGGTGCTTTTAGTACTTAAATAGATGAATTAAGCTACTTCTACCCCAAAAATTGTACCCCAAATTGTACACCATAGGTGTTCACCGTCATTTTGTGCCAGCGTGATGGTTCACACAGATACAAAATGATAGTGCAATTTTTTTTCGCTCTAGCACTTTGTGCCAGTGCAAACCATCAAAATGTTTGTGTGTACCTTTGATGTACACTTTGGTGTACAGCCCTTGGTGTATGCCTAGCATGGTTGTAAATAAATATATACTTCGTATATATTTTTTTCCTACAGAAGGAAGTTCCTCAGAAGCTTAAGCAGAAATGTCGAGCTTGGAGGAGCCTCTTAGTCTAGACAGGTTGCCAAGGTTGAGCAATGTTGATGGCAGATTGTCATCCAATAATGGCTGTAGGCGGCCCGTGGGAGATGATGGAATGAGGGAACGTTGGGTTGAGGGGAGAAACTGCAGCTCATCTAACAGCTGCGAGTAAGTTTTCCTCTGCTACCTCCAATTCCTTTAGATGTGAGCTATCGTAGCATGGTTCTTTTATTTTTTTTCAATGTTCTTTCCAATTTTGTTTCGTCTGATTGTCATTCAAATTGTTCGTTGAACTTGAATACTATTCTTAATGAATATCAGTTCTTGTTCTATGGTAACACCCCAATTCCTAGATGCTTTATTAGTGCTGAGGGAAAGCTATTATGTTTACACATATCCTCGTATGTGTTGTTTCTAAATTTTGCTTTCTGATTTGTGTTCTCACTTCTCTAAAAACAGAAATCATAAAATAAGTTGCACTCTGGTATTTTTATTTTCATTGTTAGTATCTAGTACCTGACAATAAAAATTGATTTTGAAGATTATTAAAAACATAAATTTCATGTTTTTGAATATTGGCACGGTTTAATCATTTATAGAACAATTAATTTTTTCTAAAAATATTTTATGTTCAGCTCATAATGGCTAATATAACGCGTATATGATTCATGCATCTCAGCAGTGGTGAATATTCGTTCTCCTTTCTCCTAATCTGAATACAGGTTAATTACATGCACTTCTCATTGTATGATTGTGTGGGTCCTTTCTGTTCACCTATTCATCAAATAAAAATTTCTACTTAACAATCAGTAGATTTTCACTTTTATGCATAATATTATCAGTTACCCACTGTAAATCATTAACACGGGCTATTGAGCTTGAGGTCAGCACTGACAATATTAGAAACTAACTTACGGAGGTTGGCATGTTAGTTTTATATCAAGTGATGCTTCGCATTTCAATATATTGTGACTTCAATAAGGTCTTTTAGGTAAAAAGGAATTAGAAATTAATAATTGCCTAATACAATTAGTGTTATTTGAGTTTATTTGCTTGCCGGTCTAACTTTTTTGCAATCTTCTTTAAACGACCCCTAACATATTTGCCACTTTAAAGCAGTTCTATTTCATGGAAAAAAAATTACTATATGATGAGGTTCTGCATAATTCTTTATTCTTCTCTGGCAAAGCAGAACATTTTAAAATTTTAAAATACCCAAAGTTGTAAAATGTTAAGAGTAGTTTTGGTTTGTTTTCTGGGTTTCGTGATACCTTTATGCCATTCTTTTTGTGACTTACAAGCTACATACATTCACAATAACGTATAGATGTTACCCTTCAGAGAAGATCTTGATGAATATGGCAGAGGGAGCTTTTCACGGAGAAGACAATGCCGGGACAAACCGTATCACGGAATTTCAAACCGGAGGAGTGTTACCGGGTGCAGGAAGGATGTGGTATGTTGGATCTCTATCTGATCATCAGTATGTAGCTCTTACATACCAACAACACAAGTAGCACAGGAATTTTAATATTTACTCCAGATCTGGTTTTGAATTGACAGTTATTCAATGGTGTCCCGAAGTATGTGAAGATAGTGGAAGTTGGACCAAGGGATGGGTTACAAAATGAAAAAAGTAATGTTCCTACATCTGTAAAGATTGAATTGATACGTAAATTGGTTTCATGTGGGTTGCCCGTGGTGGAAGTAACTGGTTTTGTTTCACCAAAATGGGTACCTCAGGTACTATATTATTCTTCCTGGATGTTCATATCACTACAACTGTCCATTACTAATGGAGCTAAAATCGTCATTACTGAAAATGTTTTAGCTTCACCCATATATTAGACTAAATCTAAAATCTAAATGGCACATTAAATTTCTCTTCCTTCGTACTTTCTATGAAGTTTTTGGTAGTAAATGCTGCAATGCATCAAGGATTTGGGAAAAGAGCTTCTCTGATTAGTAAAGGAGTAAGACTACTTACATCTTAACTCCCTAGAGTTGATAGTGTTGGGATTATACTAGGTTTCTTGTTGAACCATAGACCCTGACAGTATTGGATGTGCTTTTGCTAAAGGGCACTTTAAGAAGGGCTTTTGATAAAAGCAGTTTATATGACGTTTGGAAAAGTTACCAGGAAGCACCTATAAAGTGCTCTTAATCAAAACTCTTCATTGAGATGCCACTTATTTCTCTGGCATATTCTTGTATCTCTATTTATCCCCTTCATTGCTTGTTTTTTCAGTTATCCGATGCAAAGGATGTCATGCAAGCAGTTAGGAATTTGGAAGGAGCAAGATTGCCTGTCTTGACACCCAATCTAAAAGTGAGTGCATAAACATGGGAAACCAATTTAACTGCCTTGTTTTGTGGATTAACATCTATTTACTTACTATTGTTTTGAACAAAATTAGGGATTTGACGATGCAATTGCGTGTGGAGCAAAAGAAATAGCTGTTTTTGCATCTGCTTCGGAGTCATTCTCAAAGTTAAACATTAACTGTAGCATTGAGGAGAGTCTTGTCCGTTATCGGGCTGTCCTATCTGCTGCTAGAAAGCTCTCCATACCCGTTCGAGGGTATATATCATGTGTTGTTGGATGCCCAGTTGAAGGACCAATTTCACCTTCAAAAGTTGCATATCTGGCAAAGGAACTTCATGACATGGGTTGCTTTGAAATCTCACTTGGCGACACTATAGGAATTGGTACTCCTGGTAATTCTATTTCCACTAATATTGCTACTCTCAGGCGGCCTTCCTTATACTGCCTCATTTAGGACACTCAAATTTTATTTGTTTTAGGAACTGTCATTCCCATGCTTGAAGCCGTGATGGCTGTTGTTCCAGTCGAGAAGCTTGCCGTCCATTTCCACGACACTTATGGCCAATCTCTTCCAAATATCTTAGTTTCTCTCCAAGTAAGGCCACTAACATAAAATCTGCAAGTAATAAAGTTGAAGTTTGATTTCTCGTCATCCATTCGAGTCTGTTGTTTTTAATCATTAGTGTCAAGGAACCAACTCAACCAAAAGCTCAAGCTTGTGGTTGTGGCCCAGGAAATGTTTCTTATATTCTAACACGCCCCCTCACGTGCAGGCGTAGTCTTTTTCGAGCCTTGCACGTGAAACCTTAATTTTTTTAAAAACTGGGTGGCGCTGAGTTTCGAACCCGTGACCTCTTAGTCAACGAGGCTTTGATACCATGTCAAGGAACCAACTCAACCAAAAGCTCAAGTTTGTGGTTGTGGCCCAAGAAATGTTTCTTATATTCTAACAAGAGTAAATTCTATAATTGGTCCTTTATAACAGGGGGGTTTCCCTATTTAGTCCTCTATTATCAAATATTACCCAAGTGGTCCTTCTTTTATGGGTACCTTTCCACAAATAGTCCTTTTTTTGATATTCTATCATGTTGGTGTTAATTTGAGGGCTAAAAGTGTAATTTCACAATGATAATATATCTTTTTTGTCATACACAATTCCAAAGGCTGTTCCGTTTGCGTCGTTTGTGAATTACAGTCACTTTTTATGACAACTATAGTCTACAAATGTGATCTTTCGTCAGAATCCTAACTCACAATCATAGTCATTATTTTTGTGTTATCCGTTTAACCAATATCAGAACACGTCACTAGACATAATGTTGACGTTAAATTATACTTTTAGCCTTTAAATTAACACCAACATGGCAGAAGATAAAAAAAAGGACCATTTGTGGAAAGTTACCCTTAAAAAAAGGACTACGGGGGTAATATTTGATAATAGAGGACTAAATATGGAAACCCCCCTATTATAAAGGACTAATTATGGAATTTACTCTTCTAACAATTAGTAATAAAGTTCCTCATGTACACAGAGGTGTACCCTGCCAGGGTCCACCTCAATGTATAGGGCCGTCTGATAAAAAATACATCTTTTTTAAGAATACCCATCATCTATTTGTCAGTCTGCTTATCAACATAAAATTTTACTCCCTCCATCCCAAATTATTTTCCTTGTTATTCTTTTCGGGACGTCCCAAATAAAAAGCTTCATGTTCCTCTTTTGGAAAGCTTTTTGTGGCTCACCATCTTTCAACCATCCAATTTCACTTTTCTTAAAGTTTGTGCCATACCCAATCAAGAAGATGAATTTGGGACGTAGGGAGTACCTTATTTGCATCTTTTACGTGCTTGGACAGATGGGAATATGCACGGTGGACTCGTCAGTTGCCGGTTTAGGAGGGTGCCCATATGCCAAGGGAGCGACCGGGAATGTGGCAACAGAGGACGTGGTCTACATGCTACATGGGTTAGGTGTGAAAACGAATGTCGACCTGGGAAAGCTATTGGTGGCAGGTGAGTTTATCTGCAAGCATTTGGGACGCCAGTCTGGCTCCAAGGCTGCCATTGCATTGACCCACCCAAGTTTCACCAACTAAAGTATTCGGAGTAATAACTATACGGTATTACACATACATCAACGCATTTGAATCTCTTTTCATTCATTCTGAGAGAATTGATGAACTCAAGGAGCCATTGAAATGTTACCTTCCCAGTTCTAGCCTCTTTATATTACTACCACGGAGTGGAGTGCTTATATGAGTAATGAATAACATATATGGATGTTCGGACGAGGACCTATGAGGCTAGCCAGGACCTATTGAAATGTTACCTTCCTAGGACCTATTGGATGTTCGTAATGACATATTGAAATGTTACCTTCCCAGTTCTAGCCTCTTTATATTACTACCACGGAGTGGAGTGCTTATATGAGTAATGTTTCTTATATTCTAACTTATATGAGTAATGAATAACATATATAGTACTCATTTTGCACAAAACATAAGTGAGTAAAGGAGTATTCATTTGGAAATAATGTGGTTTTCTTTTTGAATCAATGTAGTGTTCATTCTGAAACAATGTATTGTTCGTTTTCACACATTTGTTCATTACAATTATAATATTCTTTTTTTCTGATTATAATATTCATTTACGATCAACGTAGTGTTCATTCTCAAACAACACAATGTTCCTTCTGAAGCAACGTAGTACTCATTATAAAGCAACATAGTATTCATTCTTAAGGAACATAATGTTCTCACCTCATACTGAAAAAGCCCACAATGGCTACATAGGAGCCGTAAGCTAGGATCGCCGCTGGCAAAGTCGTCGCCGCTATAGTGAAGCCGCCGTCATCGCCGCCTCCACCTTCACCTGTCGTCGACCGCTACCGCCGTGCTTCCACTACTACAAAAACAAGCAAATGGACCACCACCTTTGCATCGTTTACCCAAAATACTAATTCAAATGTTACTTGCATTTTCGCCAACCACTTTCTATTGCATTGATTATTACTTATCTGTTAAGCTCTCTCACTTTTGGTGTTGTTCTCAAGCCTCCTCGTCGTTCTCAAGCCTCCTCATCACCGTTGTCTCCACCTTCATTCATTCCTCTCCTCGTTCCTTAGTCATCCGTGCTCCCTCTGTCGTCGCTATCCTCTCGTAGGTGCTCCGCCATCGCTATCCCCTCGTACGTGCTCCGCCATCGTTCGTCCCTCTCCTCATCGTAGTTGCCTCCCACCGTTGCCACCACCACTGGTTGCCTCAGCTCCCACCTCCCACTATGCCGCCACCACCTCGCACCTCTCCGATGGTTGCCACCTATCCAACCGCCGGTTGATCAGGGAGTTCATGGGATGGGAGGAGGTTGATCAGACCATCGTCATTGTTTTCATGAGGTATGACAAGAAACTATGTATTAAATTAAAGATGAATAATTGCTTGTATGTTCTGATTAACAATAAAAATGCAATTACTAATTTACTTGTCAGCTATAAAGACTATTGTACGGGTACATGACCGAGCACGGCATCACAAATGTCGAGTTGTGTTGTATGGAGAATGTGCTGTACATGATTAGTTCAGGAGATCACAACTATTTGGACAGATCATTCCATGAGTACAGATCGTGATCCTGGATACTTTTTTCGTTGTATCTTTCGAGCTCGTATGTAATCTAAAGCAATTTAAATGAGTACTCAATATTTATACGTATCCATTATTGAATACAAAGTTAATTACTAAAACTTGTTTTGAATTGTAGGCATCATTGGCTGTTAGTTGTAATACGCTTGTTTGAAAACAAAGTATATCTCTTTAACTCAATATTCGGGACCGGAGGACATAAGAGTATGAAAGCGAAAACTTTCATAAACGAGTAAGTGTATATGAACTATTTTAGTAATATTGAAGGAAGACAATTTTTATCATTAATTATATATTTATATTTATAATGATTTATTTTTTTAAGTTGAAGGGCTTGGCAGATGCTTGGGGAAAGGGAATTGTCAGAGCTTAATGCTAGACCAACATGAGTTGATGTTCGCGGAGTATAACAACAACCGGGCGGGACTGGGTGTGGATACTACACTATGCAATTCATGTGGCTCGTCGTTGGTCTATGTTGCCTAGCTTCTCTATCGATTTCTAATGTAAGTTTTTTTTAGCATTTTCTTGTAGCTAAGATGTTTGTTTATGATATAGAGTAAAATGGTTGACTTTTTCTTTATGATTATTTTAGATTTATTGTAAGTGTTTTGGTTATTGTGAAATATATACATTAAATTGGGTTTTTAAGGTTTTGTTGTTGTTGTTGTTCTTGTTCTTGTTGTAGGTGTTTGACTCTACAATGCCGTATACGTATCATCGACTTGATGAAATTAGAGAATTCTGGGTCGGCGGTTTTCTTGATGAAATTGTTTAAGTTTCATACATATGACTCCATTGTAGGCTAGTTTTGTTTAATTTTATAAATTTAACTTTATTGTTAGTAACTTTTTAAATATGTATTAGTTGTGTTATTAGATTAGCTCTTAGTGATCTAATATGTAAAATTATTATATATGTAGTTAAGTTTATGCATTGAATCACGTGAATATTTTATTGAAATGAATATGTTATTTAGTTATTATATTGTGGTGCAAAATTATGAGCACTTTGTTAAAAAATTTGACGTTTTGTTCTGCTTTGTTTAATTCTGCTCTGCTTTGTTCTCTCCTGTTCTTCTTTATTCGTTTAAAAACATTTGCATTGATTATTCTAGAATAACCGATGCAAAAGGCTTTCCTACTTTTAGCGGGAAGGTCTTTGATGCAAAAGCACTTACCACAGCGCGAATTATGTACTCATAGAAGGTCTTTTTCATCAGTTAAACAACTGATGCAAAAAGTACTTACACCAATTGCATCGCTACTTTTTGTATCGGTAAGGAACCAACACAAAAGGTTAAAAATAACAGATGCGAAAAGATGGAAAGATCAAACTGTTTATGCTTCTGCATACCGGTGGGCTTCTATAGAACCAGACCGGCGGGCCAAGAAGCGACGACCTGGGAGAAACTTCTCCCTTTGTTAGGGAAATTAGAGTCTCGGGGGCTCTAGAAGTGGCAGCGTCTTAAGTCTTACCGGCACCTTCAAGATTTGAAGGGTCTTGTACGGCTGCATCTCTTTGGCAAGAGATTTCTAAGAACCTTTTGCCTTCACACTTGCGGAGGAAGCTAGCCTCCCCTGATGCAGGGCACCATAGGATTGTTCTCGGGGGAAATACAAGTCGGCCAGCCAAAACAGTTGGTCTACGTGGAGATCGTCATGATCTTATAAGGCACCTCCCTTCATTTCTTTATGGGCCTTCACCACCAAAGAAGATTTAGAGAAAGGATTCCAGACTCAATCAGAGCAGAGCGCCAAAGAGGGAAGATCCAGGTGGCTGTGATCCAAGAATTTGATGACAAAGTACCTTTTGGCCCATTTCTCAATTTTCCCCTCCACCTTCGTAAAAACGGACCAGAACTTGTTTGGATACACGCTAAACTAGGGGAAAGAACAGCCAATACTAAACTGGAGGAGAAAATCATCAATGGAAAGAATCCTTTGTTGGTTGTGGCAACGCATGATGTATGAGGCCAAATACTTTTGAGCATTTGCGGTGAATTGCCCAGGAGGGATTTCCCAAGTAGTGCAGATGTTCTGGATGAAGGGGTGGAGGGGTAATCTGAACCTTGCTAGAACCGAATCATAGTGCATCACAAGAAAGCGATGTGATTCAAGGTTCGAAATGAGGTTAATGCTGCCTACAACGTCTAGGTGATGAACCCTATAAAGCTCCGATTCTTTGATTAAGGAAGAATCGGGCTACCATTGTTCATGATCAATGAGTTTGGAAGAGATGCTCTGAGATTTGAACAAGAGCTGGGAATCACAGGCAAAGATCTCTGAGAAATCGGATTGAATTTGGGATGGTGGAGAAGAAAGAAAGTGAGGTTGGCCTAAGAGACTTGAGTTTATAGACATTACGATACGGAGTTTGAGATGAGGAGATAGGGGTCGTTTTCGATTCGACACGGGATTCGAAGGTGGCTCATCCTTAGTTCCTCAGTGACACATCACTTAGAAACTAAGGGACTTATGATCGATATCGGGTTCATAAAATGGACCAAAAAATCCCAAGCGCGTTGTTCTGAGCCCCACGGGGGTGAAGGCCACCCCAGATTACAAGAATGAGTCGAGCCCGAGGACTGAATGGAGTAATGGGCCAGGCCCAACCCGTCAAGGTGGATTGATCACGAGATATAAGGCAAGCGCAATCCCCCTAGTCGTGGGATTTGGGAGTGATTAATGACTGATTCCACACCCACAAGTGACGCATGATATGATATCTAATCATCCCGATAATGTCAGTAGCGTTAGACTATAAATAGGAGATAAATTCTCTATTGTAACCCAAGCGGAAATAAGGTAATACAAGGAACGAGTGTCATATATTCAATCTATATCGTTTTTATTTACATACAAATTCTTCGTGCCACTATACTCCTTGGGCTAAATTTCATCAGTAAAACATTTTATGTAGTTTTTAAGTATATAAATATTATTTCTATCTCTATATAAAATTTTAATTGAAAAAAATTAATGCAATGTTTGGAAACTAGGACTCAGATAAACAAATGGATTATAAAAGAACTTAGACTTTGGGTTAAATATGAATTTGAAATCCAAATTTAAATTTCCAAATAGATAATAAAAGAACTTAATTCAACAAGATTCAACTAAAGTTATGTTCAATTAAGTTACTTTGATTATAAGTGTACAACTTTAAAATAAAACTTATATATTTAAATATCACTATATTACAAGTTTACTGTGAATAAAAAATAAGTGACAAAATAATATTATTTTATCAAATAAATTATGAAAATATGTAAAGAAAGAAAATATGACAAAAGATCAAACAAAGGACTATTCCTCAAAAAAGTACCATAAAAGCCTAAATATAGAATATCTTTAATTTTTAAATACAAATTATATAGCACTTACTCGTAAAAATTTAGGGGAAAAGGTCGGACTAGATATGAACAAAACATATAAAAAGTATCAAAATAAGAAATTTATTTTTATTCTCAAAATAAAAGTAATAATTTTAATCATGTGAATATATAATATTAAAAAGACTATAGAACGCCTATATATAGCGTCACTTTTGTCACAATGCAAACTCCTATTTGGAAATAAGATTTATGTTTTACTCTGGCTTTGTGTGATTTCTCAATGCATGTTCTTTTCGGTTTGAGTTCCAAAGTTGGATCTTGAGAGAAATTAACTCGAAGAAGTTGGAAGAAACTTGGAGTAGGAAAATATTGGAAAAAATAAAGTGTTAAAAATTGCACAATTAAATGAGCATCCAATTAAATAAGAAGCTAAGATTCGCTGAATATAATGTTACTGTATATTCATCATATATAAATATTTTTTAAATCGTTGTTGAAAGAAACAAAAATAAAAAGAATTAGGTAGAAAATGAGAGATGTGAGGTCTAGAGTTAGGCTACGCAAAACAAAGAGAATTAAGGGGGGTGAATGGAGAAGACGAGAGGTGGGAAAGAAGAAATTCGTTCAACTTATTTTTCTACTTATTGCTTATTCTTATTAAAATCAGATCAGATCAGACAAAATCAGACTAGATCCAATCAGATTAGATATGAACAGATATATCTAATTTGATCAGATCAGACCAGATCCAAGCAAATTAATATTATTATTTTTATTATTATTAACATTATTATTAGTATTATTATTGCTATTACTGTTATTATTATTTCTTTTATTATTATTATTACTTTTGATTGAATCTGATATGATCTGATTAAATCTGATCTTGTCTGATCTGATCTGGACTAATCTGATCTGGTCTGATCTGATATAAATTTAGTTAAAATTAAAATTAAAATTATTTTTTGTTTTATTATTATTACTACTACTATTATTATTAATATTACAATTATAATAATAATTTAAATTTTAATTTAATTTATATCAGATTAGACAAGATTAGATCTAATCAGATCCTATCAGATTCAATCTAATCAGATCCAAAATTTAAAAATCAAGTTAGATAAGAACTTCAAAAAATCAAATCAGGCAAAGGGAATGCAACCTAAATATGTAAGTGGATAGGTAGGATCATAGTTTTCAGAACCGGACCGGTGACCGAACCGGTCAAGGTACTGGTTCACTGGTTTACTGGTCGAACCAGTGGTTCAACTGGTCGAACCGATGGTTTAAACATATTTAAAAATTATATAAATATATATATATGTGTGTGTGTGTGTGTGTGTGTGTGTGTGTGTGAATATGTATATGTATATATATTTACACACACATACATACATACATATAGACATACACACATTCTCATTTATAAATATCTAAAGAAAGTAATTTATAACATTTAAATAATATTATATTAATATACTTGAGTTATTTTATAAAATTAAAAAATAAAATTTACATATTAAAAAAAAATAAAAGAATTTTAAATGTTGATTTTATTTTTTTTCAAATAAGTTTTTTAATATTAAATAAATAAAATCTTTGCATGATTTGCATTTTGTAATAGTATCAATAATATCAATGATTTTATAATATTATAAAATTGAAAAGGAATTTATATACAATCTTTTTTGTAATTATGAAATATTATAAAAGATTATATGAACTTGTAATAAAAAGCACCATTGGTTGGATGGTTAGGAACTCAACCAAACATATAAAAGGTCTTGGGTTCAAACTCCCATGGATTGCATGTTTTGGAAAAAATTAGCAAAAAAAAAAAAAAATTGGGCGGACTGGTCTGACCGGCCGGTTCTTACCGGTTCGGGCCGGTTCGAAGCAGGTTACGGTCCGATAGACTGGACCGGACCGGTTGGAACACCAGTTCGCCGGTTCACGGTCCGAACCGGCCGGTCCGGTCTGGTTTTTAAAACTATGGGTAGGATAGCTTCACCACGAAATAAATTAGGGAGGGTAGAATGAGCTTTTCTTATATATTTTTTATTTAATAAGAAAAGTGAATAAATATTGTGGGATAACTAAAAAACGAATACTGAGTGAATATTGGGAGATGAAGGGAATATTTTTTTTAACTCAAGAAAACAACTCCTTGAACACTTAAATTAAACCTTAGTTTTAAGAGAGGGAGACAGGGAGTAAGACGCTACCCTCCATTTATGAACGTGCCTAGGTAAATTAAATTTGAAGTTTGAACGGTGCACTGACTGTGAAACACGGAGCAAGAGCAAATGTCTATGCCTCCCGTTGCATGATTCGGTTAGAGGACAGAAGCAGTGTAGCATTAATCTTGCAGTGCTAGTGTAGCGCCGATTTTGCTATGTTCTCACCTCTTTCAATAATGAAATGATCTAAACAAACCTAACGAGGAAAATATGAAGCAGAAAGAAGGAAACCCTTGATTGGAAACGCTGCAAAATTTCTGATACAAAAAGTTTCAGGTATGTTTGCTCTAATCTGAATCAAACAAATAGAGTAAGTGCCTGCAATTCCAAGCAAAATTTCTGATTTTGCTCTTAATTTTGTGTTTTTTTTGCATGAACTGCTTAAAGTTTCTGTTTTTGCTCTTACAGTCTTACTTTTTTTCCATGAACTGCTTAAAATTTCTGATTTTGCTCTTAATTTTTTTGCATGAACTGCTTAAAGCTTCTGTTTTTGCTCTAATTGGCTCTCCACACACGAACTAAGCATTACAAAATGAAAGAAGACAAATATGTGATTCATCAGACTAGGCAGTAAAAGTTTAGATTCGGTATTTTTGGGTCAGAAGATTTAAACCCTTCCTAAATAGGAATAAATTTCTATGCAAGGAATAAAATGCCAAGAACACAATTATATTTTATGAAAATGGGCAGAAAAAGGTTATAATTAATGAGATCGCCCTCCCCAATCAGAGAAAACAACTCAGAGGAATTGACAAAAGGATGGTTCCAAATGACATTGGTATGTCCATAAGAGCTGGTAATTTATTTTTGGATGGAATTATCAAAGCCATGTTTCGAATGGAAACACCATCATCTGCCTAATTGCTTTAGTCAAAGCATCAGGTTCTTATTTGACCAATCTAAACGATGTTGTTTTGATTTGTTTCACTGACTTAACCCCTCGCCCTCTCTTTCGATACGTTTCACCTTCTTCGAAATACTTCTGCACTAAATCCATTCTTTTCTTCTTTTGGTATTGTCGTTTGTTCATTCTCTTAAGACACTTGCGAAAACTACAATGAGGAGCAATAGCCCATACGTCGCTGGCCATGTTAAGGGACGAAGACTCACCAGGCTGAGTCAAAAGCAGGAGATTGAAGATGTCATAAATGTGCATGCGAATAATGATGAGCACACAGAGGTACTTTCTAACATATACATTTATTGCTTTTGAACACAAAATGAGTTATTTTTGTTTTGACTGATATTTGACTAACTTTTTTATTAATTAATTGTTAGACTTATGAAGAAAATGTCTACGGAGAAGATTCTTGTGCTGGTTATAACCAAAATGAGGGAAAAGAAGCTGCTCCCGACACTTCTGAAATCGAGGTACTATTTTGTGTGGTTGGAAATGTTAGTCCAAGTAGTGACGTCTAGTTGAAAATGTATTCGAACGAAATTGGTGGCGTTCGTGTCAATAATCCATGTTTATTGAAAAGGGATTCCACCAATTTCGTTATTATTGATTATTCAACTGTGGTTGGCGTTCTTGAATTATCAATGTTTGTGGGAGTCTGATGGTGTCAAATCAACCATGTATGTAGAAAATAGATCCAACCAAGTTTGACATTATATTATTCGACCACCTATTAATGATTGGACTATGGCCAAATGTAGTTGGAAGTTTTTTCTGGAAGTAGTAATGTTTTCTTATTGAATTTCAGGTTCCTTCCCTCGGGTGCACTATTAAGAAGGAGTGTTTCCCGACCATGAAGTTGACACTTAAATCCTCTCTTGGGAAGTGTCAAAAGGCCATCAAGGAGGGACTGGCACATCATCCTGAAGTGCTGGATTCTTTCAAGCATAGTAGCCCTTTTGGAAACTACTTGGATGTGGAGTTTATTCCTCCCCCGCTGATGATTTGGGAGATTCTCTCTAGGGAATCAAAGGTTGAGAGAGATGGAGAACTTTGGTTTGTAGTCCATGGAGTACCGGTTAGGTACTCATTGATGGAGTTTGCACTTATCAGTGGCCTGAACTGCTCGGAGTTGAATACGGAGTTCGAAGCATTATATGATGCGAATGCTCGGAAAAATTTTCTTGAAGCTCACTTCCCTTTGGTACTCCGGGACAAGAAGTCTATTGGAGTTACATACAACATGGTAGTCAAATGCTTCAACGAAGTATGTAAGCTCTTGGATAACAAGGATGATGAGAACAAGAAAAAGACCCAGATTGATGCTGTGAGAATGGCCACACTTCTCTTCATTGTTGTGGTACTTCTAGCTCCAGCGGATCACGAGAAGTTTGTTATCCCCGATTGGATATTGGGGTTAGTTGGTCAATGGAAATCACTATGTAACTTCCCCTGGGGAACTTGGGCATTTATGGAGTCTTTGGTGTCCCTAAAGAAAGATCTGGTCTCCAAGGCTGAGAGTTTGCACAATGGTGGCTCTGCAACCATCTACTACATTGGTTTTGTGCTTCCCCTCGGTGTAAGTGGTTGTTAATTGTTAATTATCTTAAATGGTTTAAGTTTAGTTGTAATTCTAATGTTATTACGGAGTATTTCACAATACTAATTGATTTATTTGAATGACATGTAAAGATCCTATTACTCGAGAGTTGTTCAGACTTCGCTGCAAGGTTTGCAATGAGGAGGCAGCAGACTTCCCCAGCACAACCAAGGATTTGCTTATGGAAGGGTATCTCAAACAAGAAGAAGATAACCCATAAAGAAGTTGAAAATTCTATGAATGACGTTCAAGTATGTATGTATATACAACATATTAATCAAAACTATCAGTCGAAATCGAAAAGTAGTTGAAATGTCTTTCAAATAAAACTTTCAAATTTTGATCCTTGGTTGAATAGAACTTTCATATTCTTTTTTTAAAGAACTTTTAAATTTTAATCAAGCATTGATTGAAATATATCTTCCGAATTATGTTTGAAAACTGAATGGTCTAAAATTGATTGAAATAATGGATAATATTTATATTTTAATTTTTCTTCTTGTGATTGCAGAGTGTGCAAAGCATCCTCTGTCCTGACAAGTTTGAGGCTACAGCAGAGTGTGCATAAGTGTTCAGAAGAATATAAGAAAGAGTTAGCCAATGATCTGGAAAAATACAAGGGCTCCAAAGAGCACAAAAAAGAGTTGGCTAATCACCTTGAAAACTACAAGGTATCCAATGATCACAAAAAGGTGTTGGCGGAACATCTTGAGATGTACAGAGAGTCTGAAGAACACCTTAAAGATTTAGCTGAGCATCTTGTGATGCATAAGAATTCCGAAGAATACAAGAATGAGTTAGCCAATCACCTGGAAAAGTACAATGGATCAAAAGAGCACAAGAAAGACTTGGCTGACCACCTTGAGGAGTACAAGAAATCTGAAGAGTACCAGAAAGAATTGGCTGATCACGAAAATGCATTTTTACAGACCGAACGGTTCAAGGATATTGTTGCCAAGGAAGTTGTCCGATCTTTCATACAAGGAGTGTCAATTGCTCAATGTCGGGTCTACGATGCCCTTCGCAAACGTTGTCCAGACTTTGATGTTGCTTCTTGGGGCCTTCCGGCGCAAATTGAAGATCCCACAGGAGTTCCTCCAGCACCCAACCTTGTGGATGGGATTCTCCCTGTTCCTCTTGGATTTCCTCCTTCCATTCCTAATTCTTATCTTTAGGAGATTGTGAATGACCCAATCATGGGCTCTGATGGGATGCGCCGTGACCATACAAAGATGCTGCAGTTTAAGGTATTAGCAAGCGTAAGAGCCCTTCCCAGAGGCAACCAACATGGAAAGAAATGGACCTCACTCCCATTCTCCATATATAAACCCCGGTTTTCTACTTCTACGCTTAATGTAATTTTGCAACCTTAGCTTTCACCTTTTTCATTTACCTTTTCCGCTGTCACTCTCTCCTCATTGTAAACCCCATCTATATGTACCCCTTTTACTACCCCCAAGTCCCTAACCCAGTTGTGCATTGTAAGCAGCCACCCCCTCTTTATAATCGTAATCGACAAACGGTATTCGTTGATTGTATTTTCCTTGCTGAATATTGTGAATAGTTTGAGCTGATTTGATCTCTAGATTGAATCCAGATTCACCTTTTTGAAGATTCATCGTTGAGGGTTATTCCATGATGCAAAGTTTATAGTCTGTATCTCACTTACAAGTTTATTTATGAAGCCATTAACATCATCATCTTTATTTTTTAAGAATTGTGTGCAATGTAGTTGAACTTAGTAGAATCTTATTATTTCTAATTCTTTATCTGCTTCAGTTTTCCCTCCTTCCTATTTCAAAATTGCTTTCGTTTGTTTTTTGGCTTGGCTATTCAGTTTCTTCAACCATTGATCCCTCATGATCAGAAAGGGAAGATGTATGCTGACGGTGGTGGTGGTGGTGGTGGCAGAGAGGTAATAACTCTTGTATTTGGCACGGGTTAGGTCGGAGAAGAAGTCCAGAGAGACTACTCATTTTCTCTCTGTTCTCGCATTTTCATCTAATATAAGTTTCCTTTAATCTCAAAGAGTTTGGTTCATTTAATTTGCTGAAATCCGATGTGATCTGTATCAATGCAGTGAGTGTTTAAATTTCACAATATTGGATTTTTTTGGTTTTCATCGAAATCTATGATTATCTTTAATATATGATTGTAAGGGGTGACTCAATTGGTAATAAAGTTGGATTTTGGTGTTATATAGGTAATTGTTGTTTTCTTATACTCCCTCTGTCCCTGCTACACAATGTCTGAGATAATTACACATATATGCCTTGTCTTTAATTGGGGAAAACTTACAAAGAAATTGTGGTAGAAGATTTTATGAACAAATATTCGTTTACACGAACATTCAATGCATGTGAAACTCTTAAGACACAATGCCTATATATAGATTAGAACTTAGTTGTTTCATTCAGAGTTACGTTAGTGATTAGCTATTTGATTTTATTATCTTTTGAAAGTCAATATTTTAAAAAACTAATGCACTGAAAAGTACTAAAATACTCTATTGGACATGCACTCCTATATTTTTAGAAAGATAGTTGATTTTAATATTATTCAAGTGATTCTTTTTCACATTTGTTATAATAACTTTTTTTTTATTAAAGTTTACCAAGTTTTTAGAATGAATTGTTAAGAAAAAATAAGTGATGGAACTTTGTAAATGAAAATGGAGTATAAATGAACCAAGAATGTGCTCCCTCCGTACAATTTAAACTATTTTTTACTATTCAAATGATTAAATTTCATTCACTTTTTTTAGTTAATTTTGTTACTTATTTGAAAAACTATAAGTCATGTCACCTCTTATATGAAGATAGTAGCCGCCAACCAATACCTTCTTGCTAAATTTTTCATTTGTAGAGTTTGAAATTTTCTTAAGAACACCATATTTCTTGGTTGAACATTGGCCATGGGAGATTTTTGCGTTAATTAGTGCGAGAAAATAAGCGTGGAAAATTAACAAAAAATTCAAGTATTTTCTAGCACAAAACAAACATTGAATTGAATAGGCTTCGGTATTTACTCAATAAAACACTGTTCCCCAACAAGTCCTAAATCCATCAATATACTACTCTCTTTGTCTTGTTATTATCTTTATGCTTTCGTATTTAGATTATCTCAAAACTTTAATCCTCTTTATTTTTAAGGAAAAAATTGAGTGGACATTATCATGTGTAAATTATATAGTACAGCCAGATGTATTGTACATCATGATGACAAACATATAATTAAAATATAATTCAGAATGAACATTATGTTGTTTCAGAATGAATGCTATATTGTTTCACAATAAACATACTATGCTGAGCAGGCTTCGAATGAATACTACGTCACTTCAAAATGAACATTTGACATACTTACCTAGTTCTATGTACATCTGAATATACAATATAGGCGCTTATTATTATTGCTCTTTTTTCTACACAAATTTGACCTTCTATTAATACTCTTATTGCATTCTCTCTTATCATTTTTTGCTTACTCACTCATGCCCTACCCCGCAGTCTCGGCCTACTTGGTGGTTTGTGACCATCAAAGATGGGGTTACATTCTTGACAATTTAGGACTATTATGTTTTAGACTCTCATTTCTTATTATTGATTTTCTCATATCTATAATTCATTTCACAATTCATATTCCGGTAGAGTTTAAATACAACAATTTATTACTCTCCACGTTCTATAATTATATTCCTACTTTCCTATTTGGAATATCTTAAAATTTTCTTATCTTTCTTTTTAAGAAAAATATTGAATGATCATCATATTATCATTTCTCTATTCTCTACACAAATTTTATATATTAAAATCGTGGCAAGTCAAACTGGAAAAAGAATTTATGGACCAAGAGAGTACCTTAATTTGTACTCCCTATGTCTTCTTGAGATATTCTCATTTTGATGCTTTGTAGTTTTAAATGAGAGTTGAAAAAGGTAAAATTACCAAAATACCCTTAGGTAATGTTTGGCAACTAGCAATTCATTTCAATTCATGCATTTTAATTTCAAAATTTAAAATCTTTAATTTTAAATAATAAGAGAAGGTATATGAATTTCAAATTAAACTTTATTGTGATATTTTAAATATTAAAAAAAATAATGAGAAAACTAAAAATGACAAGTGAAAAGACTTAAGAAGATATGTTGGGACGGAGAGTGTACACTAAAAGACAAAACAGAAACGAGTATTTGTACAGTGTACAAATACTTGTATCAGTATTTAACTTTGAGGTACAACTTGCAGTACTAATTGGGATATTTCTCATCTTTTTGAATATTATGAGATCTAAAAGTATAGAACAAATTCTTAAAATTACCTTCCTCTTTGGGAGTAATGATTAAAGAAGTGAATTTAATTCCCTTACGCCTATCGTCTTTATCGTGTTTGCCATAACAATTGAAGAATCTGAATTATTCCATTCTTTTCCATTTTCTTATTTCTTCTACCAAAGAAAAATAGAGTAACTATTTCTTCTCCCAATTTGAATGTGTGCGAGAACAGCAAAATCGCTATATCCTGTTTGTAGAAGCTAATGATCCAAACTGGATTGATCAGTGCAGAGGAACAATAATGGCTGCATTGAGTCGGCCGATCACCGGCGGCTCAATCGGAATCCGGGCGGTGCCAGATGCCGGCCGCCATATGTATCTCTGCCAACGGAGAGCAGAATTCCAGCATGTAATCTCTCGATTCCACGGAGGTGAGGCGTGGCGGCGGCTGCCGGTGCAACAGCGGGAGCGGCGGCAGAGGACGGAAATCGTTCTCAAACCAGTCGGCGCTGCCGCGAGATGCGGAGATTCGCGGAGGAGTCGGCGTAAGATTAATCCGTGTGCAGTTGGAGATGTTCAAGGAGTGGAAGTGGATGGGGAGAATCGCGGGGGCGTACGGACGGCGGAAGTGATGGTTGCAGCAACGGCTACGGTGGTCCTCGGCGTAGCCAATCGCGTCCTCTACAAGCTCGCTCTTGTCCCTCTTAAACAGTATCCCTTCTTCTTGGCTCAGCTTGCCACGTTCGGGTATGTGGGTACATTTATCCTTCCATTATTACTCCGTATTTTTTTGTTGTTGTTAGGTACCCGGAGTATTAATTTATTATTGCTCCTTATGAAATAGTTACCGTCCTCTTAGAAAGTTTTCCTCTTTTTAACTTTTCTTGTTTAAATAATAATACTCTTTTATTATAAATTAAACATAATCTAAATAAATAATATAAAAATTTAATATATCAAAATTATATCTTAAGATAAACTCAATTCTATTGAATTTATATTATACGGAGTAGTTAAACATACTTTTTTCAGAATTTGTAGTTAAAGAGTGTCACTAATTGACCAAAAAATCAAAACAAAAAAATTTAACAACAAATTTTTTAGGAGGGAGCGTAAAAGTTTAATCGGTCAATTAATCAAAAGTTGGACTTGCTTTTTTAGGCTAATAATTTCAATTTTAGAATTAAATGTCCAAGTCTAGTATTGTCTTGACATTTTACAAGTGAACTTACATCAATATTTTACTTACATTAAAAAAATTTTATATAAAATATGAAATATTTATTGGATAAAATATTATCTTGAAAATATGTTATAAGGTAAATTTATTAAGTTTTGTTTTGTATTAATATCTAATAGAAATTTTATTCAATTAATATTCATAATTTATCGATCGTGACTATAAGATACATTTGATAAAATTTGTTTTGTATTAATATCTAATATAAATTTATTCAATTAAAATTCAAAATTTATCACTCATGACTATAAAAAATCAAAATTAAATAATTAGGAAAAGAATTTCTTGGGGACCATTGTTGAATTCTCCGGTAAAGAGTCTCAAACTCATGTCTCAACATGTCATCCAAAATATAATCACTATCTTTTAAACATTAGATAAAAATTTTGTAAATTATATAGAGTTTATTATGTAATTTTCTAATGTGTAAATTTATTTTTTTATTTACTTCAATTATCACATAAATAGTATTAAAAATATTTTTAAATTTAAACCGAGAAAGTAACTTTTAGCAAACCAAATTAATATTATTGGAGATGCTAACTATTTGATGGACACAATGAACACATAAAATAAGACCATTTTTATACCACTACTGTCATGGGCCTCTACCAATAAATTTAGGTTCAGAAAATTATAAAGAAATATTTTTTAAAAAATAATAGACATTACATTATAATCAAATCAATACACCAAAAAATATCAAGCTCAAAGCATCCTAGAAAAAAGTATAGTACTCATATTTTTTTCGTCATTTAAAAATATAATTATGTTTATCTCAAGTGAAAGTTCATTTTCAATAAAAATGCTACTTCCATCATTCTCAATATTTTTATACAGAGGGTGCAGGGGAGGTGCTTGGTGAGGTGCAGGGACAGAGGTTAAGAAAGATAAAAACTATCAATTTTACCAACGGAATACTATAGAGATCTCAGGTCATAATATGATCCTGAAAACTAAGGTCAAAAATAAGTGAACTGTGTTAAAGTAGCTGGACTCTAAACTTAAATTTATCCCAGAAAAAGTTCATTCTAAATATCAATTAATAGAATTTATCCCACCAGTATATATATAAAAGGTCATTTTCAATATTTTTATAATAAAATGTACGAAAATAAGTGTGTGTTAAAGTTAGTAAAATCAGTAATTACATTTGAAAATATACTCCGTAGTTTTATCTAATGATGCCTAATAAATAATCCGTACACTGAGCATTTTATTAAGCACTAAAATTAAAAAAAAATAGGCTTTTGTCAAAGAGAACTCTTGCTCGTAGTTCTAAGAACCGGACTGTGGTCGAACTAGTGGTTCAAACATATTTTATTTTATATATATATATATATATATATATATATATATATATATATATATATAACAAATATCTGAAAGAAAAAAGGAACACTGATAATTAAATTTTAATTTGAAAATAACAAATATCCAAAATATATTTGAAACAGAAATATATCTGAATGAAAATATATCTTAAATCGAAGTATATTTGAACTAAAATATATCTGAAAGCACAATATATTTGAACCAAAATGTATCAGGAACTCAAATTTGTCCAAATTGATTGATATCCAAACAGTATCTGAATCGATCCAAAATCGAATTGAACCCAAAAATTATACTTATCGAACCAAATTAAATCCAAACCAAATTAAACCAAACTAATTTAAGTATATATACCCAATATATATCTGAACTGAAAAAATCCAAATTGAAACCCATTCAATTGATCCGGCTGTTAGGCCTACCTATACTCTGTGTTTATTAGAAATAGAAATTCAAAATTAAAAAGAAAATCACAAGAAAAATAAGACAGATAATCACGTGGCTTTGAACCACGCGTGACGGGGAGTGGTGACCCTAAGGCCTAAACTGGCATTTTACTATATCGCCCTTGCCATAGATTATTTTGGATTATTCTGTGTATAGCGATAATTTACCTTCCATTTTAATTCAATCGCACCCATTAAAATGTGCAATTGAATAATAATCCGTGAGATTTAAGAAAAACAAAAATGGAGGGGAACATGAATAAATGATACGGAGTACTTTATACGAATAATATATCTGCGCACATGGTTAGGCTCATTCCAAATTATTGGTTACATGCCATGGATCGGATTATACGGAGTAAATTAAAGAAAAGGAGTGGAGAGAATTATCCGGTTTATCCCATCATATCTGCTGATTTGACAAAAAAGGTTCTGTGAGAAAACAAATGTTTTTGACTTTTTGGGTAGAGAAGTTCTATGATAGACTCATAGATCTAAGGTTCTCACACACTCATAGAGCCTTATCCTTAGGTGGATGTGAGAAAGATAAATTGAACTCTAATCACAAATTTGTTTAGGGAGAGTGCAATTGGAGGGGTGCGGGAATGCGTAAGAACCATCAATTTTTTGAACGAGGTATCATATGTACTTCATGTCATATTATGACATTAGGTTCTAATGTCCAAAGAACCTTTGTGTACAAAGAATTACGGAGTAGATAATAATACCACAAGGCACTAGTATTGAACAAAAATGCTACAAAGTTCAATTTTATAATCTCAATCTCTTCTAGACTTCACAGTGCTTTGGTAGTGTTATGTTCAGATTTGTCAAATGGTTAATAATGATTACTATGATTTCAACCAATATGTAAGAGCTGATAAATATGAGTATGACATGAGTGCTCAGAGTGTGTAGTGTCGATGTCCCAAGTTAAAATGGTTATCAGCAATATCATTAGAGCACTTGAATAAACTGTTCATGGAGCATAAAGTGTGAACTGCATTTTTGAGAGTATCCTAATGGAGCTCAAGGAATGATTGATGAATTTTATTAGTATTTATCTATAAACCTTTGGCGCACAAATGGTTTAATCCCATTTTAAAATTCAAATTCTGAATCAATCTCAATTTTGAACTGGAGTTATTTCAACTCAAATTGTTTAATGCTTAACATTTATACCAGAATAGAGCAACAAACCTGTCATACTAAGCCTTTACATGTAGAAGTGTAAAAACCCTGGCAAACTTTGCCTGTACACGGTGGAAAATTACAATCTGTGAACATGCTAGGATGTGATCCAAACACAGTAGAGTCGAACTTGTTGGATTACAAATATTCAAGAGCGTCCGCTCCAACCTGGTAGAATCAAAGTTACCACGTACAGGTTCACAAGCTAAGCTGTTCATGTATATCCTGCCAATTTTCAAATAACATTTGGCAAAACTCAGCATATATATTCTGCCAATTTTCAAATAACATTTGGTGCGCCGGAGACATGTGCTCACACAAGTCAGGCTAATAGAGGAGTTAAGATTTGGGATTTGATTTCCACCGTTTGCACCACATAATATGATTAACAAAAAGATCATGCAAATATGTAAGCGGAAATGCCAAAAAGGATTGCCAACTATACTCGTGTAAGGCAAAAAGCTCTTAAGAACATGTACAGGGAAAACCATACATGAATCCAAGGAGAAGATAATGTTCATGCTCAATAATTTTAAAGCTAACTAGATCCCAGAAATTGTCAGTAAATAGTATTTGGAAACATGATCTGTTGATGCCATTATTGCAAAAAAAAAAAAAACCTATGGTTTACCTCTTTTTTTTTTTTTTTGAGGAATGGTTACCTCCTTGTTCAATAGAAAGAATGAGGTAAAAATTGTAATGAACTTTCTTATTGCTTTCACATACAGTTGCAAATAAATGATCATGTTCATTCACTTAATTTGTCATATCTTATTATTTGATATATTTATGTTAGATTTTAATTTTTCTCTCTAGGTACGTTATTGTGTACTCCTCTATCCTATTTCTTCGCTACCATGCTGGGAAGGTTACTTATGAAATGCTATCACTGCCTAAAAGTCCATTTCTTGCTGTTGGTCTCTTGGAGGCTCTTGGTGCTGCTTGTGGTATGGCTGCAGGAGGTACTGGATACTTACTATCTCTACTTCTCTCTCTTTTTTTCTTTTTTTTTTTTTTTGCATCCGTGAAGTGTATTTGAGCATATTTCCAAAGTAAGATGTTTACAGTGTTGCCATATCCCTATTCAGTGATCTTTCTCCTGGACTACATTTTCTGAGCAATAATGACCTATTATAATGCCCCTTTGACCAATGCTTAAGAATCTGTTTTCGCTTAATACCAAGAATACAAATGAAGACATAACTTATGCATACTAAATGTTCCACTGAAGTCATTAATTTGTTATAGAATCTATTCTTTATGGTTGATAGTCATGTGATTTTGTTTTCGAAACTGCATTTTTGTCATTATTATAGTTCATACCAGTAACTGCTTTTGTAGTTCTTACCAATATGTGTTCTGTATTTTAAGTTCATTGAGCATTATTTAACATCATAAATATGATAACTGACGATGCAAACTATTTTCTTACCCCAACAGCTACTCTTTGTGGTGCAGCAATTCCAGTCTTATCTCAGGTAATGAAATTTTGTAGTGCCTTTAGTTCACCATTTCATGTTTCCTTTAATATGGTACAGTGCCATATCTCAAACTTTTTTTTTGGTAGCAAAATCCATACACCATAGGTAATTGGCTATAGAGAAAACAATCGAATGTGTAAATATGATGCAAAAACCAATGCCTGGCATAAAAAGGACCAGTTTGGTATTGTTTTTATTAACTGTTGAACTGTGAACATAGAGATAATTGGTATGAAAGTGCTGTTGAAATCTTAGTATTAACATGGTGTATTAACATTCTGCTAAAGTTGAAATGTTAGTTAGTATGGAACATAATGTGCTCATCTGTTGATTTCTGCAGAGCTTTCTTGTGTGGCAACTTCTTCTATCTTGGATTTTCCTTGGCAGAAGATATAGCATCAACCAATTGTTTGGGTGCTTTTTTGTGGCAATGGGTGTAATTGCAACTGTAGCAAGGTAGACCCATTTCTTACTTGACAATTCTAATGCTCGAAACAGATGCTACCAGGTCTAAAAGTGTGTTACCCGTGTTTCCACTTTAACATATGTAATCCTTTTGCAGTGGATCTAGTGCTGGTTCTATGATGGAAGCTGGGGTGTTTTGGAGTCTTCTGATGATTGTTTCTTTTTTATTTCAAGCTGCTGATACTGTTTTGAAGGTTGATTGTGTTACCTTTCCGCTTTTCACTTCACAATTGTTACATTTCATTATCTTATCGGCACATTCCCTTCGCAGGAAATGATATTTTTGGATGCTGCTCGAAAGTTGAAGGCAGGTTTTCTGCATCTTGCTGCATACTCTTCTTGGTCTTTAACTTATTCTGATTTTGCCATGTGTACTTTACTGATCACTTGTCCGTATCATCTAGAAAATGGCTGGAAAAGTGATTGAAAGGTCCAAAAGTTGCAAGAAATCCATAGTCGTACACTAAAAACCAAAAGAATGAGAAGTCAATGGCCAAATATACCTAATAGTCTTGTAAGACCAAAGTAATTTCTTGTGACAGTTTTTTAATAGAAAATTACATAAAACTTTGGTTTTTCAGTATGAACTCTTTGCTTTTGGGACAAATGGAGCAGTAATATGATGTCAAAGGCTCAGAATGAGTGACAAACTTGTGCCTGAAAAAATGAGATAGAAGATTTTAAATTGCATTCTAAACTTAGAAGAACGATTTATCGTTTCACGTGATTTCTTCCGCTATTGTTCATTAAAGTATACAGTATCTCTTGCTCATCTTAATTCTATAGTTGTGTTGGCAGGGAGGCACGGTGGATCTATTTGTTGTGAACACCTATGGATCGGCTTTCCAGGTCGAATCCTCAGTCTCTTCATATGCTTATTCTCTTCCTCAAATTTAAGCAGAGAAGCCTGAACCTTATTTTCATCTGTATGGCAGGCAGTTTTTATAAGCCTCCTCCTTCCTTTTTTATCAAAGTTGTGGGGTATCCCATTTCTTCAATTGCCTGCATATCTAAAAGATGGTGCAGCCTGCTTTTTGAACCTTGGGACCATACAAGGTAATTCACTCTTGACAATGTCTGCTAACTTTTCTTCTCGTTTCTACTTGGCACGCTTGTTAAAACAAATGAAACTTTGTGGTTGTAGGTCAACTAAATTGAGAGAGACTATATAAACCATGTAAGTCTTTTGTTAGAAGGAAATGGAAAGAAACTTGTAGAACATCCAAAAAACAAAAACTGTTAGAAAAATTTAGTACGGAAGACGATTATATTTGTAATTGTGATAAGATTACTTTCTATCATCATTTATGGAGCAAAAAGTTCACTATTTTTTGTTTTGGGGTATGATGGAATAAAGCAAAATGGTTCTTTAAACTGTATGTGCTTCTTTCATGGTGATTGGTGAAGTATTAGTTAGTCGATGTGACTTTTGATTCCCATCACGGGTCATCTGAAAGCAGACGCTCTATATCTTAAACATAGGGGTCAGGTAGCGTACATGTGACCCTTCTTACCCTGTAAGGGGCAGGAGCCTTAGAGGCATTGGGGTAATGTTGTTGTTAATTAGTGGTATAATTAGTGTTCTTAGGTGTGTGACATGTGTGGTGTGTGGGCGTTTTTCTGTGTTTGTAATCTGTATTCTGCTTTGGATTTGTCAACCCATCGAATTGGGATTAAGGCTTTCTTGGTTGTTGTTGGTGTTGTATTATGTTTAAGATATGTTAACATTGTGCTATTTATAAAAACAAAATAAAAACAAAAACAAAATAGAATTGCTAAATGACATTGGTTCCATGTCGTGACTGAAATAGGATGTGATGGGGCGCCATTGTTACCAGTGCTATTTGTCATAGTGAATATGGGTTTCAACATTTCATTGTTGCACCTGATCAAGATCTCCTCCGCCGTCGTGTCTTGCCTCGTTTCCACATTTTCAGGTACGTCAAAGGCCAACCCCACCGCCACGCGCTCTATATTATTGCCATCCCCGCACTTGTTAAAAGTTCAAATTGAACGGGCGCATTCATTCGACTCAACTTTATTGGTTTGTTGTGTGTCTATTATGCACAATGTTGCAGTTCCGATATCGGTGTTTTTGTTCACACTGCCACTACCGTATCTGGGAGCCCCGTCGCCTCTCCCTCCAGGTTTCATATTGGGAGCAGCCATACTTGTCCTGGGGATGCTTGTCTATGCTTGGACGCCACCCTCACTTCATGCGCCGCAGCCAGCAGCGCCTCCTCCTCCTCCTCCCGGTTCTCCCTCCACATCCAATTGAAACGAATAAAAAGGAAACATAGTTTTTGCTCTGCCTGTTTATGCTGGGCTGCCCGTCATAGTATTCTACCACAAGGGGTACAACGGTCCATCCATGCTTGACCAAACTTGTTTGTTTTTTTTTAATATATATAGATGAGATTCAAGGATTCAACCAAAAGGTATTGGATTTTAAATACAAGTAATAATTTGAACTCAAAATTCAAAATGACTCACAAGACGACAGTGTTGTTCCACACTTCCACCTGTTTATGCTGGGTTGCCACAGTATTCTATTTCTACCACAAGGGTAGAACTTTCAATGTTTGACCAGACTTGTTTTTTTTTTTGTTTCAAAAGTGATCCCACTCAGAAATACTGGGTTTTCAATAATAATTTTTTTTTTGTGACTTGAGCTCAAAATTATATTTACATTAATAATTTAATGCTATTAGATACTCCGTAATATTTAAAATATATAATTATTTATAACATTTACTAGATAAAAAAAGCATGTGATAGTACTTAATAGTGATCTACTCCGTCTAAATATTTTAAAAACAAGCGCACTTAATCCATTGGAGAAATTCGATTCTGACCAAAATGCCACAAAACAATGCAATGGATCATAGGAACTCATAAATGAAATGAAATGCAGGACTAGACTCTACTGGAGTTCCCATTTAATAGAAGTCAGAGTTTCTGCATCCAAAGGGCTTTCTTTTCTGCTCAAAGTGCCAAGGCACCCAAAAACAGAGTCAACACTTTCTCTAGCCAAAAAAAAAAAGTCATAACAACAAAAAATAATAACATTAATAATAATAACAATAATTATAATCCACAATAGGGGTAAAGTAAATTGGTTGTAGATAATTAGAACTTACACCCACAGAAATTACCAAATGGTGAAACAGCAACCCAATTGGGGGGGAGAAACCAGAGAAGTTAAAAAAAAAAAGAAAAATCAGTCAAACTCTTCTTGAGCAAGCTAAAAAAGCACAGCATGTATATAGCAAGGCAAAGGCACTGTACATTTTCGTTTAAATCGCAGAAAAAGTAGCCAGCATCACCAATCTCACCCAACTAATTTCCCGCGCTAACCAAGAAAGACCTTTTTTTGAGTAGAGAGCAAGTGGCGATGCCGTATCAGCAGAGAGACTAAGCTGAGCATTAATAACCTTTTTTAAAAGTCGTGATTTCATTCTTATAAAGAAGACACAAGGCTGTGAATATATGGAGCAACTTAGGAAGTGTTCTTCTTTCCCTCAAGAGCAGCCCCTTCTTTCAATGCAATTTGCGCGTCGTTTTCCCTCCCCAATGTGAAAAGAGAAACGGCCTGTAAATACGAAGCGACGTGCCAAACAGGGGATATGATTTGTGCCTGTGCCGCGTCGTCTAGTGCTTCTTTTGCCATATCACTCATGAGGTATGACAGACAACGGCGAGCATACACTGTCGGGGAAACCATGGTCCCCACCTGAATAAACTGCATAAATAAATAAAATCATAATGTAAATACACGTGTGTGGCATTAACACTATGTTTGGTTCAAGGAATTTAAAAGGGAAAAGAAAAGAAAATGAAGTGGAAAACTGTTTTTCTTGTTTGGTTAGAAGGGAAAAGAAAGGAAAAGTGAAAGGAAAAGAAAATGAGAGGGCAAAATGTACCAAGTGGAGGGAAAACGAAATTCCTTCCATTTTGGTGAGGAAAATGAGAAAAAACCATTTTCTTTTCTTTTCCTTCCAAATTCCTTGAACCAAACATAGTGTAAGGAATACACAAAGAAACGAAATCAACATTAAGATTGGTCAAGCCACATAGATGTAGTAGTGAGAGGGTTGAATTTGATGGATGATGATAGGTCTAACCTGCGAGTACCAATCGATTGCAGCCCTGAAGTCTTTGTGTTGGAAAGCGGCATCTCCCTTTTTCTTTGAGTTTAATGTCTCCTGCATTTGATTGGTCCACATCTGGAACGAAAGCTGCAAACAGACATGCATTTGAGTTAAGCATTAACCATGGTTAATTAAAGCACCCATAGTTTTGCTATAATTATTAATCTAGGGACAGACTCCCAACATCAGGCCTTGCTAGAAAACATATCAGTAGTTGTAAGGAGAGGAAACCTCAGTAGCTGCTCCTTCGTCATCTTTGTACCCAAGCTTTTGTAGAATTTCATGTATGGCAGTCAAGTCCTTTCTTAAGCAAGCTTCACCAAGTGGAGATAAAGACATAGATTCACCGTTCATTGGTATGCCCATTAGTACATGAGATGGCACCTGAATACCACGTTCAGTTTTGAAAGCTTCAGTTTGTACATCTATTTCAAAAAAAAAGGACCGACTCCACCCAAAATGAACTAAAAGTTAAACTGCTAAAGAAAATGAGTGGTTGCGAAGAAATCAATCAACTGGAAACCACTTGAACTTGCTAAGGCTGATATCCAATGGATCAATTTGGATTATAACGAACCTCAGTTTCCTTCTGAAGAGGTATTAAGGCGGCAACTAAAGACTTTGCATTTGGTCTCTCGCGAGGCTCGTATTGCAAGCACCTAGATGCTATTCTAACCAACTCAGTTCCATCATCATTTGAAAATTGACCTTCTAAGCAAGAATCAGTTAGCATCTGGAGATTCCGGTCTCTTATCAGATCAAGGGCCTGAAATAAAGTAAATAGAGCATCGGGTGAAAAAAACATGGAAATGAACACATATGGACCACACAAATGTGCAAGAAAATACATGGACTAATTAAACCAAACTTTTTTATTAAAAGCAGAACAAGTGATAGTTCCAAATCTTTTCAAGAATTGTTATTTGGTAAGTTTAAAAGTCATTACCTATAGAAGACAGTTAACTAATAGAAGTACTCCCTTCATCCCAGAAAATGGATTCTTTTTCAAAAAGGTACAACTTCCTAATTTAGTAAAGAAGTTATTGAATATCATCAAATACAGCTACAGACTGTACTTTAACTTTATTTCTTGGTTTAACTAAATTAACACGCTCAACTTTGTTTACAAAATAAGCTAACTTCTCTTGTTCAAACACGACTCATTTTGTGACAAGATAAGTTTTAAACAGGGCGTCGGAACTCTTTTTTAGGTAATGTGGAGTAATTAACAACTTTATGAATCTAAAGTTTGCACAGAAGCAATAATGCTTAGTTGATACAGCTACTTCATTACAATCTTCATGCTTAAGAACGACATAAAAGGCTGCATTTCACTAGGAATTGAAATTTGAATCAAAGAGCATTGAAATGATACAAAAAGTTTCTTCTTACAGACATGATGACATCATTTAGAGTCCATTACTTCAGAAGACAAAAAACAATGACCTCTTATACATAGCTGCATTAGCAAAATGTAAGTTAGTTTAACCAAAAGGGAAATTACATGGCTTGGAGGAATGTGTTTGCCACTGAGAAGGTCAAGCAAAAGTGTTCCGAAGCTATACATGACGCTCTCTGGAGTTATTCTTCCTGCAAAAGTTTCAAATAACAATCTTGATGATAGTTCAACATGAAAACCTATACATGGTTTATACAATGATATCTAAAACTCAATATCAAGGACCAAAGTCCATTTCCTCCATTCTATTGGAGAAACAAATAGGAGCATTTTAGTACTCAGTACTAGTTTGTCAAAATTAAGCTTATTTTTCAGATAAAATGCATACTTATAAATAGACCATGTTGCACGATGCGCATGTTAGTTTTACAATAACAATCTTGTAATGCATCCTTTGTGATTTTACGCGTGAAACTATAGCGTTAACTAATTTTAGATAATTAATTGACATTAAAAATCATGTCACCAGACCCAGTATACTTAGGATTAATGGTGTGTCGATGATCATAAACACACATTTATAAAGAATAAAATGCAGAAACAAGGACCACAAACACTTCTGTGATACGGAGTAGTTGTTACCAGTCCTTAAATATTCAGGTGGAGTAAACGCCAAATTTGTGCTATAACTTTTTCCATCTCTACTGTTCTTCATCAATCCAAAACAAGAGAGCCTGGGATTACCATCCTACGAGACCAGGAAAGGTTATTTGTCATTAGCCGTACCACATTTACAGGTCTGAACTAAAGAATGCTTATGAAACCACAAACAAAAATACAGGGAAAATAAAATCTGTATTGCACTTACATCATCGAAGACTACTCTATATGCATTAAGATCATGATAAAGAGCACGTCCTTTGCTTGTACAGTATTCTAAAGCTTGTGCAAGGTATAAGGCAACTCTTAACCGCATTGCCCACTTCATTGGTTGAGTTTCCCCTGAATGGCAACATAATATAAACTTTGAGTGCCAGCTCATAACTACTCTGTATATGAGAATAACATATATGCCCTGAGCATAACAGCTATACTCTCCCTCTTCCTAGCAATAATGGTGATGGAAATTTTAGCAAAAAGTTTTGTTTTTCTCATTTGCAATAGCATGGTCTAAAGTACAGAAAGAGCGTTAGGAAAATCAGACACTAAATAGAGAATGATTATGTGTACGTTCGACTTACAGTGAAATAGATGTTTCGCAAGAGTCTCATTAGGCATAAACTCTGCAACCAACAACCTCTCATCACCTTCACAGCAACAGCCAAGAAGGTTAGCCAATCGGTTGTTCCGGAGCTGACCAACTGTCCTTGCTTCTTCCTGAAGTTCAAAATTTGTAGCTAAATCATTAGGGAAAAAAAGAGGGAAAACCAGAACCCAAGTGGAAAACAGGCTAGTAGTTGTAATTCAAAGTAAAAACAACAAACCAAAAACTGCCGTGCATCAGGCCACGCAGATCTATTGAAGCGTTTGACAGCAACCCGCCTCTGATTATCCATTTTCCCTTTGTAAACCACATTTGGAGCTTTCTCACCATGCTCAGAAACTATATTCTCCACTGCAAAGTCAGAGGTAGCTATCCTCAGCTGTTCAACTGTGTACTCCCTAAAAGTGGGCACGTCGCTAGCTTCATTTGTATCTTCATCATCTGCGAAGCAATTCCAAAACCAATGAAAATTCTGGAGTCCGTCCTTAAGAGAACTGGAACCAAATATAGTTTCACTATACCCGGATTGCGATCCTCATGAATCGGCCGATTCTGTCCCCTCCAACACCAGGATGCGAATTTTGAACTCTTGCAGCCCATCCCCAATGCCCAGAAAGTTGCAGCAAGCTAATGCAAGTGTCAATTTGACCACTACCAAGTTTAAAGTACCCCAACTGGATCAATTTTTGCAACTAAGGCAACCCACTTACTTTAAATTATTTTATGCCCATGATAGCAGATCTATATTATAAACGGAATTTCTACCTGGGACTTAAATTCTACTAGGAAATTACAATAACAGGCACACAAATATTTGCAGAAAGAGAGACAGTCATAGCATATCGTACACGTAAGTGTGAAAAGGGTTGAAATGCATTTGAATCTTGGGTTCATACCCAAAAAAACAGCGGATAGAAAGAAAAAAGAAAAGAAAAAAAAGAAGCTAAACCCAATACTAGTTTTCTTTCGTCAAGAAAATAAAAAAGGCTATACCTTTTAGAAAAAGCAATTCAAATCAGGGTCAACCCACAACCCCTACTACTCATATCGGATCCCAAAGCTTCGAGAAAGCTTCTCTATCCTTTCCAAGCGAGGCAAAGCTTGAACTAGCTGGGAACACCTGATCTCAGAACCAGATATGGGTCAACCTCAAGTCAAAATCAAAGCTCAAACTATATGCAACCACAGCTATGAGTGTTTGCCGATAGAGAGATGCATAAAGTGTGAAAGGGTGTTGGTTTGGTGGGTATAGAGAGAGAGAAAGAGAGAGAAAATGGGATTGGGTCAATATGGAAAGAAAATGAATGAATGTATTGGATAGATTGATTCTTGTTTTAATTATCAGAGAGACAGACAGATGAGGGGATTCAATAAAGATGGAAAAACAAGAATCAGATGATCAGACTTTCTGTGTGTGTGTGTGTGTACACAATAGGGTGTGCGAGTGGATGGTGGGGGTAGATAGACAGGTCGATCTCCTCTCTATTCACACACAGCTTTACCCGCTTCCCTTACCATTTCTCCCACTTTTACTGCACCCTTAATCACCATTCTTCGCCCATCTCTGTTCTTAGAATTAAATCTTAAGCAAATCCAGTAGTACACTTTTCAATTTGAATTCACTTTGGTTATTTCGATAACTTTACTATCGGATTATGACAACAAACTCTATTAGAAAGAATTGAGATAAATAGATAATAGGAAATACAATATTATTATATATGGAAAAATCATCTGAAATAATTCAACTTTGATTGTTGCGTATAATCACATCTTTTAATAATACGTGTAATAATTCTTCCTTTTCACTCTTTTGCGCGTTTTGGATTGTCGTTAGAGGGTAACAATTCCGTTATGAGATTTTTAAAAAAGTCTATTTTGCGCAACAAAATGAAAGTTGAGATCATTTGAGGTAATTATTTTCTTAAATTTTAAAGTTTGAAATTTTAAAGTTGAGATTATTTGTAGTGACGTTTGAAAAAGATTGTAAAACATTATCGAGAAAAAAAATTGTAGTGTTGTTTCAGAAAAAACAGTATCGGATAATGTTGTTTTTAAAAAAATGATGGGTTATTATCAGAAAACAATTCATATTGTCTTTTCTGAAAAACATTGTACGCAGTATAGAAAACATGTATTTCGTATTAAATTGTAAAAAAATTAGTTCTATTTCGGAAAAATGCTTCTCGATAACTTATTCAAAAAAAATCATGAAAAAATTTTTGCGCCACAAAAAAAATTTGTACTATCATCATATCTTTTCTCCAAAACGCTACTAAAATTTTCGACAACTCTCTATGTAACACCCCAATCCGTATAACCCGGAATTACACGAATTAAGGTGAAACGAGGGATAAATAAAAATTTCGCTTGACATTTGAAAATGACAATTTATTATAAATATTAAATTTACAGACTCTGGATCGCGACCCATTTAAAAATATTTTCAGAGTAATGCGGAAGTACAATAATAATCAAATCATGACATATTTTAAAATATTTTGATCAGACATTTGCCTGCTATCCTTGCATCTCCTCTGACTCAATGCCCTCCGGGAATGGTTCCATCATTGTCTTCTTGTTACCTACGTGTAGTCAACGAAAAATACAAACTACACGCTCAGCGAAACCGCTGAGTGGTACCACGCTAGAATTGTAGAATGATTCACAGACGTATACATATACATATATATACGTCCACAAATGTATAATAATATTCATGATATGGCACATTATATCATATGGTCAATTTGATGATTCATGATGATAAATATTCAATAATAATTACATGATGGCACAATTAATCAATTTGCTTGTGAGGATGATTACATGATACTCATATAATCAATATACTTGTTCTTGATGATGAATACATGACATCTATGTAATCGATGTACTTGATGATGATAACATGATGCGTAATGGATGTCACACATAGTCATGATGATTTTACTTGATAATGACTTCATGCTGTATGATTCTAAGTCGCAAGGACGAGCCTTGAGCTATGAGATTCGCCCATTTGGTACGACGAACTCACGCAGAAATAGGGGTGGTACTCGAAAACCTAAGTACCATGTACGTACACTAAGCCCGGTCCGTGATGTCTGACTGCTAAGTCCCGCACAATCACAACTACAAGAGACGCACTTCCGCCTGATCTCTTGCGCATGCACATGATGTGATATGTTTCAATATGGATGATGAAATGAATCACATGATATGAACAATTTGTAAACAACATGATTGGATAAATATACTTTATTTTATT